CGGCTATGGTGTGCCATTGTCCGTCACACAGAGGCTGCTGTAGGTTCACCTCTGTACTGTGTTTTCCTCGTTCATCCGTTAGAATTAGAGTGACCTGGAACAAAGAACAAAAGGAAACGTCCAACTGGAAAACTGAAGCATGGAGGCTGCCTGTGTTGACTACCCACAATGCAAATGCAGACTGCCTGCTTGTCATGCCGATCCTCTTACTCTGAATTCCTGGACCTTTGTCAGGTTTTATTGTGGTCTGTGTCCACACTGGAGAGATTTATCCTCACTTCCTGTCTTTAGGACAATGCTGCCCTTGGACAAGCAGGGAAAGTTCTGCTCCATAGTGACGCAGACAATGATGAAACACTGACACTAACCCTTCCGTGCTGTGTGCAAAACTAAAGACTGGCTAGAGTTCCACTTTAATGGCTGTCTGGTTAGTGGCCAACGAAATAGGTCCTTGTGTCATATAATTGCACTACAATGAGATAAATACCTTTTTATCAGCTGCAGACACACTGATGGAGTTCCCGTTCTCGGAGTGTATGTGGAATATTAGACCGGAGGGGTGCATGGGCCGCACCTCTAACTTCAGCTCCAGATCCAGATCCAGCCTCAGGTCAATCAGGTCCCCTGGGAGACAGGAACAAGGGGTTGAAACAGGTAAGAGCATAAACAGAATACATAATATGACCTGGACTGGTCACAAAATTCTAAGATAAAAGGGTCAGGCTGTGCTGATCTTTCACTGTCCAATCAGCAGTAGAGATGGCTAAAGAGGCCAACATTTAGCAGCCAATCCCCCAGCCAGCAGCAGATCAGTAGGTGCCATTACAATCATTTCAGGGGGGAAGGGGGTGCAGCTATAAAGGGATTGTAGGACAGATATTACAGGGCATATAAATAAGGTCCTGATAGTATGATTTTTGCCTGGAATTCCCCTTTAATGAGGGAGGCAAGGCTTGGAAATTCAGAAGGGGGAGTTAGCCAATCAGCATTCACCCGTAATGTTGTATTTAATAGTAATTCTGATGAGCAGAGGGCCCAGGTGGTAATGTGCACATCCCCAACCCAAGAATCTCACTGATCTCTATAAATCCAGACATAGATCTCCAAATATTGCGCCAATAAAATAATGTGCCATGTAATAACTGAGACACCAATCAGCGTTTTCAACTCATCCCTTTCATTTCGGACATAATTATATTATACGGGTTTCTTTGTAATTCTCACAAGTCAGCAATTAAAGGGATGAGCTGCCAACCCTGAACTTAACAGACCTCTACAAAAAATGAAATGAGCCTCTAGAAAAAACACTATTGTATACCAAATCTGAGGAATCCTCCATCTGAGAAGAACAACCCGGGTTCTGTGAACCCCTCGAAGCAAGGAGTGACTCCCACCACTCTTCTTGGAGGGCCCAATGCTTTCCCGTCCATCTTCAGATCCCTCTGGCAGCCCCGGAAACCTTTCAGGGCGCCGTCCTGTAACAGAGGGAAGCGGCAATGACACATTAAAGACAACTGGTCTTGAGTATGAAAAATTACATTCGTTTTTGTGCTTAATTTATACGTGAAGAGCACCTGTATAAATAATAACACACCTACAGAGGCTAAAGACATCTTCCATGCACTTGATTTACACCGAGCAGGTGTAGTAGTTGCCTATAGTGTAACAGCCCCACGTCATCTTTAGCACTCGGACAGGTCTGGGTCTAGAAGGTGGCTCAAGATGTATTTCATCTCACACTATGAGCTGGTTGGTATGGCCCATCAGGTGCCCACCTTCCCAGTTACATTATTATCTATGGCTCTGCTGGGAGCCTCTTAGGTGCCATAACCCAGCTTTAAGGTTACATTGATGTCTCACATTTGTTTTCTAACTTATAGTGGTGGGTTATACATCACATCACAGTTTTAGGTTGATTGGTTGCCACGGACAAGACCTTCCTCCAATTTCTTATCCACAAGGCCATTTATGCGTCCATTACTCACCATGTTGTCTGGAAGGTTCCTCAGTGCAGGGACTCCTCCAACGTATACTGGACTGGATAAAGACAAGGAGGACACCGAGTGTAGGATGCCTGTCTGGGCCCTCAGGCCGTCTATGACCAGGCGGAGCTTGTTCTTCTCTTTACCGAAGAAAACCTGACAATAATAATGATATTAATCAGATGTGACGTGGATTTGTGCTTCTACTTACACATGACTGATACAGAACCATGCGTATCCCTGCACAGTTCATGGCTCAGATACTGCTCAAGGCAATGTTAATCTGCAGCTGTTATGTACTGCTCCATTTCCATTCATTCCTCCACTCCTCCAATCACATAGGTCATTTCTCCTAACAGGAAGCAGTGACTGGAGACCCTAAATGAGCAGTGCAATGTCCAGCCACCCATTAACAATGGGAGCCCCCATGCTTTCCTCACTACAGCTTCCTTTAAGAGAGAACCAAACAATATAGATGGATAGGTCTATATGAGGGAGATAGGAAAGTATAATGTACCCATATGTTTCCCTCTGTGGTGAGCCAAACGATTTAGCTTGCACCAACTTCCAGCTCCAGACTTCGAGCAGTTTTGGCAGTGAAAGGATACAGAATGGGGAAATGATCAATAGGTGGAAATGCTTTACACTGATCGGTGTATTGCAGAAATGGGGGTGGGGCTAGACCCCCCTGTATCTAAAACATTTACATAGACAAACTCCCTACTGCAGGGGGCCCCCTAAGGTATGGAATTTATTGGCTTATAGAGGGGTTATTGATGTCAAACAGATGTATATTATAGGATGGATGACAAAGAAGTTTCCATAAGTGTACAAAAGACACAGAGGAGAATCTTCATACCGTGTGCCAGAGTCCATCTGTGTACTTGTCTTTACTCCTCAGTCGATGGGTCCTTCCATTAATGTTCATCAGAAGCACAAACCTGGCATTTAAGATGTGGAGAGACAGGGAAGAGGTTCCTTCCTCATCGGCAACATAAAAGAGGAGCCCACTGGAGGTGTTCAGCCGAACTTCCATTGAAAAGTAGAACCTGTGTGGCATAAACATAGAAGAATGATTTTACACCTGGAGGAGTCCTTGTAGATCAATGATTAGTGGATATTAGGTTTATTGTGACCGCTCAGTAGCTGTTCTCTTCCTGTCTGAACACCATGGCTGGATCATAGACTTCACAAGTCAGTTGCAATCAACAAATGTATTATTTTTCTCTGTGCGCTGACTTATGTGTGCAGAATTATAGCCGCATAATATAAGCAGACGAAATGCTGCACATTCACTAGAACACACAACTCTATCATCGTATCCTCCTACATAATCTGTGTTTCCCCTGATGTCACCAGACAATTATTATATTATATAATTACCTTTCCTGGTGAAAGTCAGGAAGATCTGTGAATTCCAGATGGCTGGAAGTGGAACCTCCAAATTGGAATGCCCCTTTGACAGTTTTGGGAAGCATGCATGATGAATTGTGCGGGTTCCGGTGGTTCATTAAGGCCAGCTTCCTTTGCCGAGCTTTCTAACATGGGACAGCAGATCAGAATATTAATTAAAATACATACAATAATAAAATGTGGCACATAAATTGTCCCCATGGTCCCCAGTGTCCTCTTACCTTCATTTTAATTTTATCCTTCTTCAGCAGGGCTCGAATCTCTTGCGGCCGTTCCTCCGCCACCTCTTGACAACTGATTGTCACATTCAGGCTGCGTAGATTTTGCTGTAGATCTAGAACCATCTGGGGTCCAGTGATACTAGAGCCACAGAGAACATGGGGATCAGCACATTAGTTCAGGACTGGGATAGTGATAAATGAATACTGGGGAGGGGAGATGCTATACTGCCAGGCTGTAATAAGCATAATGCACATAAACTACTTATGGTGGCCAAATCTCACCTTTTTACAAAGACATTGCTGATGCATCCGCTCAGGTTCCCACGTAGTGCGCTATCAGGCATACCACCAAGAAGCAGGCTGCTACCTGCCGCATCCTGCCGCCTCCTCCTGCTGCTGTCTGACAACTGCTTGCTCCCTTGTAGTTGGTCGTCCACGTAAAGCCGCACCCTGCACAATTGTGACAAGAGTCAATAATCGTGACATTTACTTCAACGCTCACACTTAGCACTAAAATATCCCAACCTCTTCCTTCAATCTAGACACAAAAGGGCAGATGTATGAAACTATTTGGTCTTACAAACCTACTTCCACTTAGGAGAACTTAACCAATATGTATAAAGTGTCCTTCTGCCCTTCAGTGCCCCTGCAGCTTCTCCCCTTTCTCAATAAGCCAGCCTCATTACAATACAATGCTGTGTAATGCTTCCACCATATGCAAGTTCCCATACTCTTAGTAGAGACCCCTCTTAGTAACTCACTCCTTTTTAGTGCTGTAAAGAGACAGGTAGTGTCCCGCTCCATCTGAATACGGTGAACTAGAGGTGAGTTCTGTGGAGAGCAGCCTCACAGATAGATGTCCATCTTGGACTGACACCTGGCAGGATCCCTCCTGGAAATAAGGACAGGACAGAGTTCAATGAAAGTGAATATTCTCAGTATTTTAAAATCAGTCCTATCGGTATGAATTTACCTCACTGGACTGGTGATACATCAGTCCATTGCGCTGGCTGGTCTGGAACCCGAAACCTGCAGCAAAGTCATCCTGGAAACTGGGCACATTCTTCAGGTTCATATTGAGGAAGCCATGTCCATGGAACTGCACCGACCTGGCAATCTGTCCATAAGAAGAGACATAGTTATCAGAAACTGTAAAAATCAGCCTAACTGTAAAACACTTGGACAATTTCCTCAGAGACCGAAACATTCAGGGGTACAGGTTCTGTTGATACAAGAACACAAGGGTACTCATAAACAAGCATACACATCCAGAGTAACTTGCATACACGCAATGGGTTGAACTTGATGGACCTGTGTCTTTATTCAACCTCAAATACTATGTAACTAGTCATCTAATTCCACCATTGCCATGGTCATACAGGACTAAGAGCAATGAAGGGATGTAGAGTATGGCAAATCATAGCATCCAGATTTCAGCCAACTGTAGTCCAATCAATGGAAGATGGCCTTACACAAAGCATGCCATCATTGCACTTTCATGAAATAGGCCACTGGGGTGTCACTTACCAGTAGGTCCGAGGTGCAGCCATAGCTGACACCAGTTGTATTCATACGCTTTAGGTCCACGTATCTGCCCAACGCTTTGAGCCCCTTCATGCAGCCTCTGATAGACCCTCCGGTTGGGAAAAACTCTTTCAGACTGTCAGAAAATAAAAAGATACAAGTTATTAAATGCTCACACAGATCAAGGGGCCTTCTGAGGATCTACAGCGGGATGGTGCAAAGCTTATCCTCTTTATTCAGAGATTTTCAGATCAATAAGCCAATTTCCTCCGTGTTTTCTCCTTTTTAAAGCAGCTCTAATAACTCTCACCAGTCTCATGCTGTGATACAGACCTCCTCCTCTCAGGCTGGGAGCTGCTGTTTTCAAAAGACATGTTGCCACAAGCAATACTATAAGATTATAGATCCCAATATAAAGTTCCACAGCTGCTCTCGGCACTGACCATCTAATGATGTGCTGTCACAGTACAAAGATTACACATTATAGGTGACAAGTGAGCATGACCAGACAAGAACTCTGTAATGAAACCACTTTAACGTCATGAAATTGAGGCAGTGTTTGAGGTAGAGTGGTGGTGTCATTGATGTAAACTCATCCAGTGTGATATAAATGGTTCAGACTTTCCCGCTGAGCCTTATTTATCAGTGTTTGAGAACCTATTCAGTCACTGATGTCTGAAGAAACCAATCTAATCTCCTTGGGGAGAACAAAAGCAGAATCTGATTGGTTGATATGGGCAGCATAGACTGTCAAAGCCAGGTCTGCAATTGGACAATTAGAAGATTCCATCACAGAGATCATTGTTCTTTATGGTGGACAATGATGTCAGTGACCATTCCTAAGAAGCTCCATCTCAGACCAGAGAGGACTGCACACCACATCCCAATAATACAATCTGTGCAGCAGTGCAATACTTCCAGGGTTCACCCAGAAGACATCCATTAAAGGACCAGCACTTAGAAGTTCATTTGTCTTCATCATATTCTTTTAATTTGTCTTGTGTGCATCAAAACAACTCCATGAATAGCGTAGAGCTCCATGTTAGCAAATACAATATTTCCTGTCCATGCCGACCCTTTCTTGAGTAGAAGCTGAAACTACTAGAGAAAGGGACAGGATGGAATATGATCATTGCGTCGGTTCTTTGCTGCATGTTTCTAAAGCCAGATCATTGCCAAGTGCCTGTATCCACCATAAAGGAGATGTGACACTATCCAAGAAAGCTAAAAACACAACCCTGGGAGCAGTGTCACACAGGTCCATAAGAACAAAGCCAAATGTAAGCTAGAACTGAAAGGACAGAAACCCGAGCATGTCAATGCAGAAAGTCCCATAACATACTAAAGCACTTTGCTGTACAAGATTTACCCTGACTTCCTGCTCTGGTGTCACCCTGTCACTCACTTTGTAATATCCCCTGCACACACCGCACTGATGTGTACCCCAGAATCCAACGGGTGCTGGAACAACTGTGTGGATGGCGCCACAGTATACAATCTAGAAGATATGTTGTCCACACACCATTGTGCTTCAGAATGTCATCTGTATTCATATTCCTTTAGCATGACATGTGAATGCAACGTTTCAGAGCCTCAGAGGATCCCTTTGCCAATGACACTTTGCCTGACAAAGGGGTCCTGTGAGGCTCCGAAATGTTACATTCAACATATCTTCTACCCTGTCACTCACTGACACACAGGGTACCACCGGGAGTGAGGTTATAGAAAATATCCCTAAAGGAGACAAAGAAAGTGACAAAATGGGAGCAGACAAAAATCTGAAGCAGCTGTGCATGGCAACCAATCAGCTTCTCTCTCTCATTTTCAAAGCTTAACTGAACAAACTGAAGAGAGAAGCTGATTGGTTGCCGTAAGAAAACTGTCTACTCCAGTTTTCATGAATCCCCCCCATTGTGTGGAGTTGAGCTTTATGTCATCTTTACACTATAAATTACTAAATGTTGCAGAATTATCTACACAAACGATCAATCTCCTCCAACAGACAGTGAAATCTAGATCGGGGGTCTGACTCAAACTCACCTCTCTGGGATCTTCTCTAGTGGAAGACCTCCGAGGTAGAAGTATTGGGAGTTTTCTAAATTGCCTCCATCGTACTCCACGGTGTAAACAGTCGTTCTCTCCAAACGTACAAAGATTTTTTTCTTAAAGGCCAAGATAACTTGTATCTGCAAGAGAAGCCCCACCATGGTATTAGGAGATAAATCATCACATCTTCCCCGCTGTACAGCCAAGAGACTTCTCTGTATTATTTCAGATCATTTAAATAACATCTTACCGCTTTGGTGCTGGAGCTGCTGACAAACAACTGGGTGGATTCCAGTGACTTGGCCTTCTCTCTGCCGCTTCCAACATTGTAATACAGGGTCAGCTTCCCCTCCTGGGCCGCGAGGCATAAGAATTGGTCCTAAGGGAACCCAAAAAAGGGAAATCTTTGTATTCGGCTCTTCTTCCAGAGTCAGTAAGTCCTCACCAATCCTCACATTATATTCAATAAAGTTAATAAACAAGTTCTTTAGCTTGGCCCCACATAAGCTGTGATCTGGTCACCTTCTGTAGTTCTACAATAGATGATGTCACTACATTTAATGAACTGATGGGTTTCCCCCTTGAGGCAACAAAACAGATGGCCTCCATTTTTCTTCTGTCATATTAAAGCTTCATTTAAAGGCCAAACCAGTCAAAAAAAACCCAGTTCAGCAAGGAACACTTAGAACGTCTGTCATCTTATCACTTTTTTATCAACTTTTTATGTATTTGTCCATAAGTAGACAAGAAGTGAAGGGACAGGCAAAGACAGCAATAAAACCTGGTTCTGGCTGGAGTTGGGCTTTGATGAACAAGCTGCTTTCTCATCCTACAAAATGGCTTCCCTCTTGCTGTGTATCTGTGAAGCGATGGCTCCAGAAAAAAGGCTTGTCAGTACATTCAGCTGCTACACATGGAAAAATTCACTTACCTCGGCATCAAGGAAGAAGATAATGCCATTATAAGAAACCAGGCGGACATCCAGCTCAAATCTCTTTGAATTCCCTGAAAGGTTCTCCAGCCTGACCTGAGCATAGCCAGCCCCATCAAAGTACGAGCCATCAGTGACCCAGGGGTCTCCTGTAGATTTAGACCTGGGAAAACAAAATCACTATGAAATGACAGAGCAGGAACAAAGATACAACAGGAACACCCGCTCCTCCTCAATAAACTCCAATTCCTTGACCTCCAAGACTCTGCTCTCTCAGGGTCACCTCCTACCTATCTCAGCGCCCCTTCGTGTCACCTACAACTCTACCTCCCCCTCTCCTCTTCCCAGTCCTTGGGCTCCTTCTATTCTCTATCTACACCTCCTCCCTTGGTCAGTTGATAATGTCATTTGGCACATTATTATGTACCATGCCTCCACTATTACCAATGTACTGCTCAGTATAGATTAAACTATGAGGTTTCCTAATCACAATATAGTCCTTTGTGTACATTAAGGGGGCATTTCTCTAGGGAAGAACTGCCATTGTGACATTCTTTTTCAAGGTTCACACTCTGGGGCATTTATCCCCCTCCTGCATTCACTACCTGGTAAGACTCTAACCTGGAACATGTAGGGTAGCCAACCTCAGTGTGAAACTACAAATCCCATGATGAATTGCAAGACCAACAGTCACAGGCGTGACTCCCAGAGTGCAGAGGTTGCCTACCCCTGTGCTATATTACTAAAACAGGTCTCAAGTTAGTAATTAGATCTGGGAGCTCTTTTGGCAAAAGCCTCAGCTGCCAGATTTAAGGCTGCCATTGTAGCGTGAGGTGTGAATTCATCTTAGTATGGGAACAACGGCTTTTGTGTGTGTAGCAATGTTTGCACCAGCTTTAGGGGGTAAACCAAATCCGCACAGGCACTGTGCGGATACATACCTGGCACACGGTTTATCCTTTGACGTGTCCAGCTGGAAGGTTCTCTCAAAGTCATACAGGCTGATTGGCTTCTCATTGAGGGTATCCATTTCAATGCAGCCTTTGAAGTTTGGATAATCCAGAGAGGCAGGAGGCTGCAATTAGATTACAGCATTGTTGTATTGACATTGGCAGAGCCCAGCGGCAACGTATGCCAAGAGCTAATCGCACTTTATTTTGTTGTTCAGGCATCAAGTATTATATATTACAAAGGAGACACAAATCACTTTATATTATACCCGATATGCGATCCAAGTCTACACAAAGAGCATAACATAGGCTAGAATTGACTTTTTTTTTTTATATGGCTGGAGCAAAGGATTCTGGGTAACAGTCTTAATTATTCAAATTCAGGTACAATGCAAGCAGAGAAAAAAGCAGCAAGAGGAGAGAGAAAGATGTGGCGGCAGCTACAATAAACAGGCTGAGGAAGTGTCACTATCCACTATAACAGGTCAGTCCGCGGAAATTTCTGAAGGGTAAGAGAAGAATTCATTTTGTGAACTGAGAACGAGACGCGGTTCTGAGAGAACGAGGAGATCTGTACCAATTAGCACATGTACCCTGAAGCTTGCCGGGTAGCCGCCTACGTAGAAGACCACTTTCTGGGGGTCCAGGTTCAGCAGCCCCTGCTCTCCATTTGCTTTGCTGTCTCCTTTGATCTCGTACAGGCTGTCCTTGGTGACAAAGATAGACATCTGGCCGTACTGCAGGATCCTGCCGGGGAGGGAGCAGACAGAGACAGTGGCGCAGGCTGCTTTCCATAACAAAGTCAAGACAAGACAAGGGAGGTATACCCAGCTGAATACAAACTTCCACATCACAGAAGACTCTCTGGCTTTATTAAGCCTTAGCTCTGCCAGGCTTCGGGTGCTCATTACCCAGCCACCCCGACCGGTTTCAGGGGGACTTCTCGCCTGTAATTCAAGTACAATTCCAGACAAAACTTTTTCTTTTTTTGCTTTGGGTAGGGTGGGGAAGAGTACAACTTATGTCAGGCTTTCAATGCTGTATGTGTCTCCACATACAACATTGAAAACATTCACTTTTGGTTATTAATGTTCTAATCTGAATTTTTGCTGTTGGCTTGAAGGAGACAGACTGAAGAGTCTTCTTCCGATCTAAATATTTAAGGGGCACCGGGATGTAAATGCTCATTTTAAAGTGCAAATATCCCAAGGTTTTCCAAACAAGCTCATTGGCTCTGGTAAGGTGGTTCCAACAGCACACCAGGTCTGCCCCAAGTATGTACCCAGGAGAAGCTAAGAGTGTAGACATATACTGGCACAAGCCAAACGGGTAAAAAAAGTCTGTCACTCACATCACTCACGACTGTCTGCAGGGATTCCCCTCCTCCCCTGTCCGATCCTCCAGTGCTGACTGGGGAAACGGACGGAGGAGGGGGCGGGCACAGCTGGCTCTTCCTCTGGATAGGCAGAGCCAGCTGTCAATCCCGCAGCTGGGTGGATCCAGACAGTATTGTCGGGATCCGTCCCGACTGCGGCGTCTCAGTATACCGCGATCTGTAGCTCACTATATACTGAGCTTTGGGTCACGGGAGGACGCTAGTTTGTGTTCTCCCGTGACCCTTAGGAGAACTATGGGGAAAAGCCCTAACCCCATAGTTCTCCTTTACAAAAAAACCTCACTGGATGGGACCAAAGGATTCTCTTCCTTGATGTGCAATGAATTCTTCTTTTGGACTGTAAATACATGAATTGATCAGCAACGGTTGGACTGTCATTTGCTGATCATTAGTAAACCGCTCACCTCTCTATGACGACGGTGACAAACGTCTCTTTGATATCCTCATTAGCTGACAGGATGGTCGGCTCCTGGTCCCCCAGGCGATAGATGCACTGCAGTCTGTTGCCTTTCAGGGTCAGCCCAAAATAATCTCCCTGACCCTGTGAAACAAGATTGCCAAAGAATAACCAGAGGAAATTCACCTTTTAATGTCTTCTATCACTCTCAGACACTGTTGCATAAATATACGTGGAGTCAGGGGCTAAATACACAGATGGAGTACATAAGTGAATGGTTCAAACTGCAAAAGGATTTCTATTTCTGTCCATCTAAAATTACACAGCACATCCGTGTCTAGCACGGCAGGAGACCTGATTTTTTTTATGCTGCATTTTAATAACACTTACAGATTTTGACCACCCCCCTCTAACTGGACAGTAAAGGAGAAGCCGCAGACTGATGAGCTCATCTCTCTGACACTCTGCTTTCTCCTCCTATTAGTATGCTCCTTGCAATGCAGCGCGACTGGCCAGCTCCTTGTGCAGCTTCCTTCTCCCTAAATCTGAGCTCTGTTGTACAGGAAATGCAAAAGGCTGATACCAAGTCAAATACAGGTGCTTACACTGCTCGCTATTACAATAAAATACATTTAATTCTGTATTAATAAGTAGAAAGCCGTATTCATTTCTATCTTATACATACAGATGGCTGATCCCCCCACACAGACATGGTCAGCCATGAAATACAGTAGAATAGGAGAGAAACTAAACTTCACATGTCACATATTAATGTGAGCTGGAGCCACGGGGGCCACCAAAACCAATTATGTGTTTTCATAAAGGGCAGAAGGTTTTCTAAAGTGATAATGTGTTTATGTGACATGGACCACATTAGATAAAACATTTCCTGACGTTTCTCATTATAGCGCTGACTGCGTCATACTTACATCTTCGTGCCCGAGGAACATCACAAAGCGCGCCTGTTCACCTTCGACTTGACGCTTCTTCTTGCTCTGTGGCGTTGGGTTCTGTATGTGTAGCTTCAGAGACGTGTAGGCAGACAAGTCATGCAGGTTGCTGGGAGTACGGAGCTGGACCCCGGAGCTGCCATTAAACTTCACAGGAACTTTAACCTACAGAAGATTCATGTCACGAGGACAGCAGAGGAAAAGTGGGGGTTAGTTATCACTCATATTAAAGTGTAGCTGGAGGGGAAAAAAAAGTTGAACATTATCTTTTCCTTTTTATAAAGAACGTTTAGAGCTCATTCACAGCAGTCTCCATGTTAAACCGTGTGCGTGATGGTGTCCTTTGTATAGGGGCGGTGCTTTGCGATGTTACAACACAATGCGCTGTTTACTTTTTTAGAAACTTTATCAATATGTCACAAAATTACACTTCATGCAAGTCTATGCATGCTAGTGCATTGCGACATGCTTCAATGTGGTGAGTTATGCTGAGTAAAAGTGCAGCATGCCTGTATTTTTATGCAACGCACCTCAACACAATGTTGTGATGTGAACAGGGCAGATAGGAAACAACTGTTTTCTATGCATCCTTGTATAGAATGATGAATGCATAGAATAATGACCCTGCATTAATCAGTGTAGATTAACACAGGTCAATGGACGTGGTGTGAATGAGCCCTTAGAGCAGGGGCAGGCAAACTCTAGCCCTCCAACTGTGGTGAAATTACAAATCCCATCATGCCTCTGCCTCTGCGAGTCATGTCTGTGGCTCGTAAGTGATTTGTAGGTGCACTACAGCTAGAGGGCGGGAGTTTGCCTACCCCTGCCTTAGGGTATTTTGCAAGCCCCATGTTACATACCAACAAAGTGGCCCTCATTGTGCTCACACGTGTTCATTTTTGTAGGTTAACACGTAGCTGTCACTCACGCAGCTGGGCGGGTCCAGACATAATTGTCGGGATCCGCTTCAGCTGCGGCGTCTCAGTATACCGCGAGCTGTAGCTCGCGGTATACTGAGCTTAATGGCGGGAGGACGCTAGTTTGTGTCCTTCCGTCACCCTAAGGAGAACTATGGGGAAAAGCCTTAACTCCATAGTTCTCCTTTAAGATCCACTGATAAGCCACAGAGTTTAATGATCTCTATATGGAGGTCAGCTGTAGAAGAGCTTGACATATGTCAAAATGGTGATCTGAGATGATCCATAAGCATGCAGGACTACACTGGGTCACCTTCATTCTGCTTATATTTATGTGTTCTTCAAAATCCCAACATGATAAATGTAGTCTCCTCTCTGTTGATCATTCCACTTACCTTGCTGGCAGCATCTCTTGCCTGAGAGATGAGCTGGCGGATTCGCTTGATACTGTCTGAAATGCTGCCATTTTGTCCTTGGCGGCCCTCTAGCTTGTTAAGTTTATCCAGAAGTAGCGGGATGGTGTTCTCCAAACTGGACACTAAGCATGAGGAAGAAACACAGACAGGACCCATGTTACTATAGTTGTAGCAAGATGACACATCTGATCATCAGATGACCATCTTCTCAGTCAAAATGAAGACCCTGCTAGCTCTTTCCATGATGTCAGTACTATTTATTTTTATTTACACATGTACACAGCAGAAATCTGCTTCCCTTTACAGGGTACATAGATCATGCACAGTTACCTTAAGGGGCCCTTACAGCCAGGGGTCTTTACTAAAGTTATAGCTGCACACTAGGACCAGTTCAGGTAAAAGCCAGTTAACCTATCAGTATATAGCTGACTTATATTAGTATAGGGTTGCTTTCCCAAATCAGAAGGTATTTATGTGCAATCACTTCAATGATAAATAAAAAGATAAAGGGTTTAGTTTAGTACACATTTTAAGTTAGTGCTCCCAGCCATGCAAATCTTTCCCTAATTCCCTGCCACCAACTGTGCACGCAGAACTGCAGAAGTGTTATGGTGTGCGGTCATCCTATCTGCTACTCATAAAATTGTCATAGAACAAAGGCGATATCAGAATTACATGAGAGAAAACAAATGGCTTTTAATTGACAGTTTTCTCCTCCTCACCGGCTGAAATTTCTGCGTTGACAGGGAGAGAATACAACTAAATAACAGCACACACACCCAAGACAAGTAAGGCTATACTTTTATACCACCTTATGGGTGGAGATCCTGATTCCTAAAAATGCCCATTTCTGACTGGTTCTTAGACACAGAGCATTTGATAGGGTAATAGTAAGGCAGGTCAAAGCTCAACCCACTTAAGCACAGCAAAGGGCAAAGTTATATTTTAGTCTGAAATGGGAATGCTTGAAATTGTGTTACTAACCTGATGTTTTTGCCTCTTCGACTGCCTTGTTCACATCCTCATTGCGCATATTTCCATACTTGTTCTTCCACTGCTCGAGGTTCTTCTTGATGTCGGTCAGCTTGGCCTCCACCCTGCTGGCAGTATTGTTTGCCTCAGTGGCTTTGGCCTTAGCTCTGTTTATGTTGTCTGATACATTATCTGTAACAAACCAAAAAAGAAGAGAGCCAATCACGCCAATGTAACAATATGGAAGACTCTACCTGCCGCCATGAGCTGGGACAAGTGCAGGAGAGCCAAAGGTTGCCTGAACCTGATCTGCTTCACAATTTATTGCCTAGGAGACCTATCTGTGTCATCCAGAGCAACCTATCAGATTCCCCATTTCTTTCTCTCACAAGTAAGCAATATCGGCCCATTTTTACAGTGTAAGGCCATTCACGTCTGTGTGAACGAGCCCTTGATCAGATAGTCTTTAGGGTTAAGTTTATCTTGGTAAGGTCAGGAATTGGTAAGGATTGGGAATTGGGGGATGAGTTTCACAGTAAAGGTCAGGGGAGGGGCAGGGTTAAGCGTTAGAATTAGAATAACTGCGTGTCTGGACAGAATATAAATAACCATATTCAGCAGATCTCCAAAATCAATGCACATTTCCCCATCTTGTGTCTCCTAAAAAACACATCAAGCACAGATGCACAAATACCTATTGAAATCCAGGGAGCCCCTAACTTCCTGTAGTGAGCTGAGAACTCTGCTTCTACTGCACTGAAATCCCAAGCAGTGTTGTCAGCAATGCTCAGTTCCTCCCTTCTGGGATACAGAACACCTCTCCCTTATTTTATGGAGATGAAGAGAAGGGGAGGTGCTCTGTAATCAAATTAAAACTAGGAAGGGTTGACATCAATGCTTCGCGCTGTGTTGTCAGCTCAAACAGGAAGTTAGGAGCTCACTGGGTTGGCAGATGAAGAACTAATGTAATAGATTTAATGATGAAGAGACGCATGAATTGTAAACACTTCCTGCCAACCATTCTTGGGTGGAAAATTGCTTGGAGTCTCTTTTATTGCTCTCTCTAGATAAGGCCAACAGTGAATGTACAGTGAACAATCATGGAGATCTGGACAATACAAGCGAGCATTTTTATGTCTAATGACTGCTAGGCATTCCGATCTACCGATGGACCACAGATACCTCTGTAAAGATGTAATAACAAGGGTCATCTTATAAAAGAAAGCCCCAGGCAATAACGGATGCTCGTCTCTGCACAGAATCACAATCACGGCCTGGACGCTCCTAGCCGGAGGAGCCCTCTTGGCTTTGGTTACGATGGCAACAATTCATTTTTTACCTTGTGTCATGCTGATTTTCTCCATGGCAGATCTCAGGTCGGATTCTAATTTTGCCTTCTTTGTTTTGCTGTCCTCCAGCTTCTTTGTGGCTTCCTGCAGCTTCTTCTGGACATCTGAAGAGAAAGAGAGGTCAGCCGGTAATACAGGACCTGCACTGACTCACCGAAACACTGCCATTTGTTTGAACTTCTCCCTGACAAACGTATTAGTGTCGGCATCATTTACTGGACGGCACAGCCATGTCTTCCAGAAGCCTTTGGGGCTTAGTGAATAGGGCGACAGAATGAGAAACCAATCAGATTTCAGTTACTGTAATCAGTGAAAATCTAATGTTCTTTGACGCTGCACCTTGCAGTGTCTTTGATTATATCCGCAGCTCTAGTCATTTACTGCTTTAACCCCTTCATGACTGAGCTAGTTTTTAGTTTCTGTTCCTAAATGACTGACACACTTTTTACATTTTTGCTGTGTGATTCTTCCACAGCAGCAAGTTTTGATTATTATTATTATTTTTAGAATTTTTTTAATAATAATTATAGTATACAAATATATTTATATATAAACGTTTTATTTTCCTAATTTTTTGTACACTTTTTTTTTTTTACACTTTGTAAAAAAAATAAGTGTAAAAAAAAAAATTTTTTTTTTTGTCAGTTTATATCAAGCAATCACTATGACTGCTTAATAAATTAACTTTTTAACATTTTTAGTTATTATCAGGCTGCTCCAAGCTTAGGAACAGCTAATAATAACTTTAGAGACTGATCCTGACAGCATGTCAGAATCAGATCTCACTAAAGGTCTTTGATCGTTCCTAGACGATCAAAACTGATACATTTCACTCAAGAGATACATTTTGTATCTAGTGGTTGAAATGTATCATTTAACATCGGGCCAGGCTCTCCAGCTGTCAAAACGAATAGCAGAGAGGTGAGTCACTGCTACCTCTCTGCTATCTTCAGCTGTCAGATACGGGATCGCTATTTAGCGAACCCGTATCTGAATGTAAAGGCTTCATTCTTTCATTAATGAAAGAAAGAAGCTTTTAAAAAAAGCTTAACTATTTCATTAATGAATGTCTCAATAGTGAGGCATTAATTAATGACTGGAACTGCTGAGAATCAGCAGTTACCAGCATTACAGAGGCTAATATAACTCGGCACGTACAGTGTACGTGGCCAGTCATATAGCCACTTTGTGACGGGACGTACACTGTACGTCTCCCGTCACAAAGGGGTTAAGGGAATGTTTAGACTTTTCAAGGTTGATTTATATAAAAGAATGTAAAAGGGATAAGCTCAATGTAATGATACATTAATGCTTTAAAAATCTTGTTTATTTGTACAATTTGTAATCATACATGTACAAGGGGGCAGCCATATTTGCTTATTACATAAGCAGGCTTTACCTCCTGATTTGCTGTGCTCCACAATGTGCTACTGATCCACATCATATTACAAGTCGATGAGTTGACCAACAGATTGACTGATCTCACCAGCTGTTAAAGTAGATGTAAACTCAACCACTAAAATCTCACATAACCTTAAACATATTAACACAATTTCTAAAGTAGCTTTCAATCTTTTTAAAACTGCAGCTTTCATTAACCCCTTCGTGACCGGAGACGTACACTGTACGTCCAGCCACAAAGGGACCAAATGACTTGTCACGTACACTGTACAGCCTCATGGTCCAGCCATGAGGGTCCTTGCTGAGGAACGTATGGGGTCACTTCGGTCTCCTTAACATGCATTGGTTCTCTGTCATGTGCACCCCTATTGTTGGCTTCAAGTGGATGTACCAACACACATTACGCAAGGGTGGTCCACCATCAGAAAACCCACCCTGAAAAATGCCATGCAGCCATTGCTGGAGTGCATATCGACAAGAAGAGGCTGCAGGAGATCAGCGGCATTGAGATGTAAGGATAAAGAAGTGGAAATTGTGTAAAAAAATTTCTTTTAAACCCCTCCCACTACCAAATTATTAAAACCAGTGCTCAAATCTGCCACAATGCTACCTGATACCGTGTACACCGGTACGTGATGCTTTGCATTATCTCACCTCCATTTAACTCGCTTTGTGCCGCTTTGGCTCTTTCTTCCAGTTTTGAACTGTTGTCCTTCAGTTCTTTTCCTCTCTTGGCAAGCTGTTGGGACACCACATCCTGTACAGAGACACATGGATATTCCATCAGGCATCAAGCAAAGTTCAGGAACCTACAGCAACCAGAAATCAGCTTTCATCTGTGGCTGTGCAGATTTTTGTGATTGTTTTTACTCCAGGATCTGTCACAAGCCTGCAATAGACCCTCATAGTGTGTGATGGTATGACTCTGTGTATTAGACCCTAATGCTAGCCATGCATGGCTCAAAGTTCTTACTGAATTGGACAAAATTGATGCTGTGGGTGGCCCTGTGTGCACTACCCCTCTCTAAAAACTTCGACTAAAAAATCGAAGGAACCAGGTGGAAAAATGCAGCCACTGTTTAAGTATTAAGACATCTGCCGGTGCCAGGTGTTTGAATACAATACCCAGCAGGTGGAGAGTCCACCATCCGTTTTTTAGAATAGATGGGGGAATCGAGTGATTCAGTCCGTGTATAGCTAGTTCCAGAGTATACAACAGTGGCTGCATCACACCAGGCCATGACCTTCACCTTAAGTGCCTCTCCTGCTGCACGGCTGGCATCCTTGGCCGCTTTCTCGGCTTGCTTCATGGCCTCGATAATGCTGGAGTAAGCGTTGGAGGCGTTTATGGCCTTCTGGATGAATATGTCTTGATTGGAGTCTTTAATGGCACTAGAAAAAAAGAGACGTTTACATAATTTTAGGCAAAAACACCAACTTGCACAGTCATTTATCTGATGTGTTTTTCACTGCTATCACCTGCTATAGCCAGAGGAGCTACAGCAGGAAAATCAAGTATCTTAAATGCTTACTGGCAAATTATTCACTAGCAAATGTAAGAATCAAGCACAACCCCCTTCCTCCTTGCATGGTGCTGGTCCAGCTCCTCCCCTCACCACTCTACATAACATTTTATGTAAACTGTTGAGGGAGAAGCAAAGGGGAATATTATGTATAGGGGAGTGTTAGGTAAGTGACAGCTCAGCTGGGGCTGTGGAGATCACATCTTAGCTGGCAGCAGCAGTCTCAGGGCTTCTACACTAGGGAGGCTTTTACAGGAAATCACATGCATAAAATACATTAAATGCAACTATAATTTTATGGGAAGATTGTTTTTGAAATAAATGGTCCGGCAACAAGGTCTCTTTAATGATTAGGTAACAGACAACAGATCTCATGCCATTACTAGTGGCCACCCGTCCCTTAGACAAAAACGGATCATCATGTCTCTTACTTGTTGAGGTTCTTGGCCACCTGTCCCAGCATTTTGGCATGCTCCTCGGCCTTTTCTACAATGGCTAACTTGCTGCTCGCTGGGGAGAATTTCTTTGCCTGGTCCATGATTGAGCTTCGGGCTCCATCAACCTCTGCAGCCAACTTCTCATATTCCTAAGGAAGAAAAGGATTGATAACCTGTGAACTCCATGACAGTAGGCTAGCTGTGAGTATGAGTAGTCTTCATTGCTACATGCAGACCAAAATTTACCTCCTTCAAGTTCTCCATCATCTGCAGGATGTCCGAGACCTGGGCAAGGGCATCTGCTGCCATCTTCACGGCTGACACCAGCTCCTTGTGCTGAGTCTTTAGGTCTTTAAGCTTTAGCTGTAAGAATAAGTCCTTAGTCAGATTCACCAGTATAGCCAATGCTACTATCCTATGACCCCTTTTATAAATTGGAATGTTTTTATTGCTGTATGTTTGTTCTTGGTAGCAGAACCTTGCTGTACCTTGTTCTCCTCCAGGCTGTTGTGGTTAAGGCTGTTGAGGCCTTCGGTCTCTATGGTCTTATTCACTGCCTCATTCATGGCATCCCGAAGATCCATCACCTCTGAGTTGTAGGTGTCCAGCTTTGTCTTGATGTCATTTAAAATGTCTTGGTTGGTTTTAACACTATTCAGTAGCTCTGCTTTCACCCGGTCTAGCACTAAAATATAAGGATTTAAAATTCAGTATCAATAAGTCCAAAATAGGCAGACATCTAGCCTAGCGCATTCCTTTCAGCATGATGCAGATAACAGGCTAAGGCAGGGAAGTATAGAGAACCTTAAACCCAATACAAATTGTTGTTTCCAAGGTTAAGGACCTAATTGAAGTTTTACTCCCTCTGACCCCCACCATCTAAACTATGAATGAAAGCATGTGAGCCTAGTAGATTATGGATCCAACGATGATGGCGGTCCCTTATCACTTACATTTTTTAGTCTCTTCAAGCTCCTTTCCAGCCAAGCCGTTAGCATGCTTAAAATCTTTGTCTCTCATCTCCTTCAGCATTCGCTCCACATCAGTCACGATCTGCCTGAACTCCTCCGTGGATGTCATGTTGGTGGTATTCGAGGAGCCAATCTTGCTCAGCTGATGGAGCAGACCTGTTAGGCAGTCAAAATGTAAAAGTGAAGACGTGTGTGACTGTAGTCCTAGACCATGGAGGCCAAAAGTTGGAACACAGCTGTAGAATTGGTGTGACCTATTATGTCTCATGTGCCAGCAGGTATGTCACATGACCTTTTCAAGTAGATATTATTTACCAGTCTACAAATGTATAGTTACACTATATGTCCAAAACTATATGGACACCCCTCCTAATAATTAAGTTCAGGCTCCTCCGGTGACAAGTACAGTTGTTAATGCTACAACATACAGCACACAGAGGTTTTGGACAATTGTCGGCGTTTAACCTTTTGGCAACAGTGTTGGAAAGAGCTTTTCTATTAAAGCATGACTGTGCACTGTGTTTGGGGATTGGATGCCTATGTAACCCAGAACTGCCACATGGGAGTCCCCAGCCTTGTGTTGTGACTTGGGCTTACAAGGGGGTTCCCTTTCTTCACTCCTGGTGGCTGAGCCGAGCAGAAGAGCAAAGAGAAGGTAACTATAAGCCGGTGGTGGGGACACTATTAAAGTAAACCTGTTGCTTTGCTCTGGATGCCCAAAGCATAGATTCAATTTAATAGCATGCAGCTTTTGTGTGTAGTAAAGCAGTGTGAAGAGAGTGACAACAAACATTTTACCAACTGAAATGTACAAAAAGCTAGCAAACAAGGGCATGGATCTATTCTGTATTTTAAAAGGCCATTTTGTATCATCCAAGTTTGTGCTGGCTTCGGTTGTCACTATCGCTTAACAGAAAGTAACCCCCTGTTCTGTAGCACCCCCAGAATGTTTTACCCTGTGTGAGCTTGTAGAGAGTTTGCACCCGGTTAGTCAAGTCTTTGGCCTTCTGACTGGTGTCTCTGGTTGCCTGTTGTACATTTGCAGCTTTATGTTTGGTTGAATTCATCTGAAAAAGAACATCTTGAATGAGTTTTTTTTATATAATTCATTTATTTTGTACATGTTATTCATACTGTATCAATATCAGTAGTGCAGCTCAGAGCAACCTATTGCTTTGTTTTTATCATCATTTGAGGCGACCTGGCTGCAGATTGTTGCTCTGTCATTACTGTATAGGAATTAAACTATGTGTAACAAAATATATTCCCACACATAGTATTACCTCAAATACCCTAAATTCTAAGGTGCTCGCAAATGCAAATATGTTTTTAAACGTTCTCTAATTATTTAATAAGTGTCAATATATCTTCCCTACTAATACATTTTCTAACAAAGTAGATGCGTGGACACCCCCTTGTGGAAAAAGTGGAAAGAGCAGCTCTCACCTTTTCTTCCAGTGTGTCGAGGTCTTGTGTGAGGCTAAAACTATCATCTTCCAGATCGTCAGATTTATCCTTAATACCATTGATGGAGCTCTGATAATGAAGCCAGAGATCCTGCAGACAATATATGTAATATTATCAAGTCTAACATACTGGCACTCAGCTACACACTCAAAGCCGGCACCTATATCTTACTTACTGTGAGGTTGGCAATAGAGGCATTGAGACCACCCAAGCGGGTCCAAGCAATGGAACTCAGACTCAGGTTGGTCAGCTGGTCTCGGACACTGGGGAAAAAATCTGCCATCCTCTGTAAATCCTCCAGAAGGGTCACCACACAGCTGTCACATGCTGCATAAAGTAATTACACACCAATTAATCATAATATAAGTATATACTGCAGGGCACAAGTTGAGTTTTAAAACTGAAAAAAGGTTTAATTTCTACCCTTCCTTCACTTCCTGTCTCTGGTATATCCAAACAGGAAATGGAGGGTGCAGTTCTCACCAGGACAGGAAGTCACCAACAGCAACAAAACCAGTCAGGAATTCTAACCCTTCCTCACTCTACTCAAAGTGCGTATGTGGTTTTCACTGTGTTCTCGCTGGAGATATTTCTCATCACTTCCTGTCCTGACAGCAACAGAAACCCAACACAGTTTCAAACCCTTCCCTACTCTAAACAAAACAAAAACTATATATATAACATTTTGTCTGAAGCTGGGTGACTTGTTAACTTGTAAAACTTTTGAATAAATTATAAAAAAGATAACACGCATCTGTTTACAAAGATCTAGACTTAAAAACTGTAAACTAAGACTTGATCAATGCCAATAAAGCTTCTTTTGCATGGTTACTGTGAAGTTCTTTGGACCATGTTACAAATGGTTTGTCATTGTTTAAAGGGGTATCATATCTCCTTTGCACCCATTTCCCAGCAGGGCTCTATATAGATGGGATTTGTATGTTCTCTGTTTAGGTGTGGGTTTCCTCCCACACACCTAAAACACACCATTAGTGTAATTATTATTATTATTATTATACAGGATTTATATAGCGCCAACAGTTTGCGCAGCGCTTTAATTACTTAATGTCTGTGTATGTATGATGTGAACGTCCATCTATGCCGTAATTCACTGCAGAATATGTTAGTACTATGTATATATAACACATTGGGCCTTGGAACTCTTTGGTGGCTTTAGTTGTATTTTCAAGCTAAAAGTTTATTGTTCCTCTGTTAAATAAATACAAATACTAGAGGATCTTATCAATACTTACGCTCGCATTTCATGACCTCTGGCCCGTGGCTGACTGGAATCTCATACTGGCGGCTGCATTTGTCGCACTGCTTTCCCGTTAGCCCGTCGCTGCACTGGCACTCACCGGTACGCGGGTCACATGAGCCCCCTTTACAGTGACACTCTGTAGAATAAAAGACATTTAATAGATTTCTGCATCATTTGTCAGCTGGGAAATCATTAGCTGTAAATAGAGCAGATGACATGGGTGTGTTCAGGTGTTTAGCCATATTCAGATATCGTGCCGAGCCTTAAAATTGACATTGCTCTCTGGAATTCGCTGTAATTGAATGACATAAATCCGGTAACCTCTGATTAGTCCTAGTACAAGTGTATTCTGTAATTTAGCATATTAAACCTGGCAGCTGCTTCCACATGCAGCACCAGGAACTGCCAATGGTCCATTAAACTGAAGAACAAGGCAAACTATCACTTTCTCCATCAACTTAACCCCTCACCCCCTTATTACCTTTTGTATCACTTGTCCTTCCCTTTTAGATTGTAAGCTCTCATGTGCAGGGCCCTTCTAACCCCCTTCTCTTGAAATGACAAGAGGGTTAGAAAAAAATTGCAAAAATTGCCTCTGTACTGTCTCCCTTTATTTTGTAAAGTGGTGCACAAGCTGTTGGCGCTTTATAAATAATAATAATAAATAATAATGATAATAATATTTACATCTAGAATGGGCATCACTACATATAGACTGTATGAGATCGGGATTACATTTTGAATATGGGAAGCGCTTAAGTAACACAGGAAAGCTAGTTCATCAGACCCCAGTTTTGTACTTACTTGTGCAACCACTCGGTTTGAACCCCCAGAATCCAGGAGCGCACTGCTCACAGCGAGGACCAGTGACACCAGGAAGGCAGAGACACTGGCCAGTGAGATGGTCACAACTTGAACTAGTAGAGCCGGAACCACAGCTGCAACGTTGGCATCCGGAGCAGCTATTGTACCCGTAATAACCCTCCTGGAATAGGAGAGAAAAGGATTACTACTGCAGCTAAGGAGAACACAAACCAGCACCAAGATTGGATAAAGACAGCTGGGCATGTAGTATGTACCTGACAGCGATCACAGTGAGGTCCGATGACTCCAGGTTTGCAGCGACATTGTCCAGTTCTTGGGTCACAAATGTCTGTTCCACAGGTAGAACAGCCACATCCTAAAAAAACAAAACCGGTGCAAAAGTTGTAATAGTGGTGGCCAACCTTTTAAATACATGGGGAACTGAAATGTGATTCACAAATCTTCTTAAAATCAATACTTGATAATATAGAATTCTGTATATCAATAAATTGTTAATTATATTTTTCAGTCCTAATACTGATTAAACTGCGCCTGATTTCTGAACTGATGAGGTTCAATCAGACTTGTGATACAGTAAAGTGGAAAGTGCAAGCAACAAGCTTAAAGTGAGCAGTGCCATGTTTGGCTTACTTTAGATTTGAAAACTATGGCTCTTATGGATCTGCAAAAGCTGAAGGTGATACTGGCTGTAAACTTACTGGTACAGTTCTTGGCAATGATGGCGTCTCCATAAAAGCCAGGTGTGCACACTTCGCAGTGAGGCCCAGCGGTGTTGAACATACAGCCGGAGCAAGTGCCCAACAAAGGGTCACACTGGTTGAAGAGCATGTTGGAGTCGGTGTTTCCGTTGCAGTTACAGGGCAAACATGTGCTTCCAATTACCATGGGGTTCCCGTAATAACCGGGGGCACAGCTATTGGGTGGAAAATGTAGATGATCATTTAGACAAAAACATGCAATATTAGGCAAACATGTGTAATAAATCCTGCACTTATATGCCAACACCCTGACCATATCTCTTGCCTATTTATTTTTCATATGTGGGCAAATTTGGGTGCTGGGCACACATAATGGGTATTTATGCTTAAGGAGAGCAACCCTCTAGACTCAAGCAATGGTCCTGGGGTTCACAAGGCTGGTAGAAGTATGTTGCTCAAAATCAAGGCACATTGGATGTGCTTTCCCATCACTGCTTTGCTGCAAAGAGCAGCAGGCAATACCCACACTCCTCTCTGTTGTCAACATATGCGGATACCACTTAATAAGCAGAGCACGTAGTGGCCAGTGCAGAGTTCACTTTCATGCTTCCCACATGGCTCTCTGTCATGTGGGCAGGGGAAATTGTGTTATACTTCACTCCAATGTGCAGAAGTGCTACAGTCTCCTCTGTTAGTGATCAAATGCCTAGAAAAATATTGACCACCCAGTGGGGGTCTAAATATATTTCCATAACAGCAAGCCTATACATCATAGATATGAGAAGAATCATCCTTATCAGAACAATCCGTGCATTATGTCATCCTATGGGTCTCGCCAGGGGGATATTTTCTCTTGGTTGCTCTGGGAAATACAACTTTTTATTAGATTCCTATACATACAGTCTGAGTGAATTGGCAGCATTGTTTTATTGTAAGACAGATCACGCGCAGTGGCATGACTGACACATTGGGAGCCCCAATTATCCTGCAGAGGAACAGTTGGTGTGACAGCTGCCACTCTTCCATAATAACATCAAATCTAATAAGGTTTGTTGAGAACATTTTAAATGTATCCAGAGATGGAAGCCGTAGACAGAAATTACAATACTGCGGGTTTGATGAGGAGATACTTCTGTGTACCCCACCTATTTTAGACTTACAGAGCAAAATAAAGGAAAAACTGCTCCAAAGTAAACAATCTTATATTTTATTTTCTACCCAGAACTTTCTCATTGACAAAAAAACCATAAGTGTCCACTTACCGTTCACACTTGGCCCCAGCGTAGCCTGGTTTGCAGAGGCATTGAGTTGTCAAGCCTCTCTGCATACATCCAATGGCAAAACTGCAGGAGAATGGCACCACGTGAGCTTACAATCATGTAAGATATTAAATGTCACAGGTTCTTCATAATGTAACATTAGTAGGCACTTACTTGTTGGAGGGCACAGATAGGGGGCAGGGGCACGCCACACACTGTAATGATCCCTCAATGGTACCATTGGCCACAAAGCCATCTTTACATCGTTCACACTGGTCTCCTTCGGTGTTGTGTTGACATTTCTAGGGAGGGTAAGGGTAAGCGGTAAATGTCTTGGGAAGGGAGCTGCAAAGACCTCCACAGTCCTAGATATATGGTGTTATACTCACCACACAAGTTCCAGTCCCAGGTAAGCACTGATCAGAATGGCCACTGCAGTTGCAAGCAGCACATTTACCAAGGAAGAGACCCATGTCTCTATAGAATCCAGGAGCACATTCCTGTCAGGAACAACAACAGATGATGACAAATGCCCGCTGGATTGTGATTGGTTATCATAGGTAACTCTGGCACCAGGCTTACAAATATGTCAGCTGGATTGTGATTGATTATCATCGGTGACTCTGGCACCAGAATTACAAATATGTCAGCTGGATTGTGATTGGTTATTATAGGAAACGATATAAAACATTGGAAGGTACTCTATTACAGTGAGTGCCAGCATAAAAAGCTGCATTGTGCAGGATGTGGAAATTATATTCCAAAATTTAAGAAGAAATCTGATCAATCAAAAAAAGTGGAAGGCCCTTGTAAATCTTCTAGTATGTCAGACTATTCTGGCATCACAGACTTCTGTCACTTCCCGCATGCTGAGACATTTGTTAAAGCTTACACTATCAGATTACTAGCAGTAAAGTCGACAGTTGTTGCTTTGCCAATGAAAATGAGGCAGCACATGTGGCCGGGTGAGTTGTGTACCTGGCAGGAGTCTCCGCGGTAGTTGGCTGGGCACATACACAGCTCCACATTGCTGGCCCGCACTCCAGTATTGGCATTGTGTCCAATTTCCAAAATCACCCGGCGCAGAGACACCATGGCGGACGACTGAGAATTTAGAGCTCGAATCTGCAGCTGCTCCAGGTTGGCCAAAACCATCATGATGTCCTCACGGGATACAGGATTGTTCGTCCCAATATGGATAAAGTTACTCTGCAGATGAGAAATATTCTGACGTCATTCTAATGAAGAGAAGAGTGACATTTCTAACACAGGGACTGTGCCTCCCGTCGTATTACTTTACAGGGTCGCACTTGTGTGTCTGCTAATGATGCAGCAGTGAAGGTGTATTTTAAGGAGCTACCGAATAGACAGGTGAATTAAATATAAGTGAATTGTTTTACATAATTCTGTTCAACTAGACTTGTGATCTGGACACCAGATAATAAAAAAGTGACAGCACACTGTATACAGCTTGCTACCCAATACAAAGGTCCCATTCTCACCTCGATGAGTTGGATCTGTCCTTGATGATTCTCTCCTGGCAACGGGTATTTTGTCTCCAGGAACGCAATACTCATCTGGTTTCCCTGCAGGAAGAGAACACAAATATCCAGTTCTATTCAGCTGTTTTGTAACCGATATCATCTCTGGAAACTTGGAAGTGGTCTGTACCTTCAGTATGGCATCTGGTCTACGCTCCACAGGAATGTAGATGTCGTCTCCTCTGATAGCTTCAGCATTAAGCTCATACCTCAGGAACCCACCATAAGAAGAGACCTGAGGTCACAAAACAATAGTATTTCTTTAATTTACACAGTTCCACTGCCGCTCTTCTTCTTATCCACATTAAGAGGACAGAGTGTAAATACGGTCAAAGGGACCTTCCCTAATGGAAGGAAGGGAAGTGTGGCCTTAAAGGAGAACTATGAGGTGAGTGCTTTTCACTCACCTCATAGTTCTAGCCGACATGTGACAATGAGACTGTCACAGGTCGGCTCAGTAGATCGGGAGGTGAGCGAACACATACCGGGTTCGCCCGCCTCTCGATCAATAGTGGGGGAAAGGGGAAAAATGGTTCTAAACTGCCAATCAATCAGTTTTATTTTTGCTGGATAGTTTCAATGTGTAGTATTCGCATTTTCATCATCTGAAATTATTACAAAATATTTATTTTCAAATTCAGAAGCCATTAGTCTTCATATTTAAACAGGCAGGCAGACTTATTATTTATTACTGGTACTTATATATAGCGCCAACATTTTACGCACATTTTACATAATGCACATTCACATCAGTCCCTGCCCAAAAGAAACTTACAATCTAAGGTCCTTATCTCACATACAAACACATACTAGTGTATGTGCCGATTTAGACAGGAGCCAATTAACCTTCAAGCATGTCTTTGGAATGTGGGTGGAAACCAGAGTACCCGGAGGAAACCCACACAAGCACATGGAGAACATACAAACTCTTGGCAGATAGTGTCCTGACCGGCATTTGAACCTGGGACCCCCAGTGTTGCAAGGTATAAGTGCTAACCACTAAGCCACTGTAAGTTTCTTACATTTTCTAGATCTCCGCATGTGTGCTGTCATCAGTTCAACTAACATAGATGCAAAAAGTAAAACAAGATAAAACAAAGCCTAAGCTCACCCGGTCTCCGAGGTAGCTTCGTGGAGCGTGCCAGTAGAACTCCTGGTAGACATCGGGAACATCTCTCAGATCTGCCTCCACAAGGCCCTCACCAGGCCTCTCCAAGATCTCCACTTCCTGTCGCTCTCCTCCAACTAGAACCCATCCCCGCATGTCGCTAAACTGCAGGAGATCAACAGAACAAACAGGTTATTTGTCAAACTTGCATGTGAGTGGAAAAAAGAGAACTGATGGACCTCATGTTAGACACAGACCACTGGTATTTACAAGCATGCTAATCAATATGGCGAGCGCTTTACATTTTGTACAACTTACATTAGCTCTATCATAGCTTATGTCTCTAAATCCATTTGTTTAAAAGAAAACCTCCACCAACTTGCCTATTAATATCTGATTACGCACAGTGCTCCACACGCATCAATCACTTGTCTCATATCATGTCAGCTTTGCTGCAGGCAATGGTAAATAAAATGATATTGCAACTGGGGAGGGAGAGGCTACAGAAAGACACAGAAGTGTGTGGAGACAAGCGTGACAGATGCCTTTCTATCCCGAGTTTACCTCTTAGTCACAGCACTTAAGACAAATGTACTGTGGAGGAAAAAAAACACAAAGTATATCTAAAGCCAAAACCTTTTTTTCATTTTGGATAACGAAGTGCTGGGATAAAACCACTGTCAGTTATTTTTGTGTCCCATTGTTGAGATTTCCCTTTACGTTTTGCCCTGTCAACACAAAATACAGAGAGAGAGAGCAAATCTCTGCAAGGTAAGGTAAATCTCTTAGAGAGGCAACTAGTGTCCCCATTAGAAGATTTTTCCCTCTATATCTGTTCTGTTGACAACTAAAAATGTTGGATTTTTCCTCACTTTCAATTCCAGTGACAATGGTCACCAGGCAGGGAATGCATTGGGTGGTGAGCAAACTGGGCATTTGTCCAGAGCTCCCCCAATACAAATGCCTGTTTTGTAGCCCTGAGGAAGGAGGAAGTCTTTGAGCCTCTGAAACTTTGTTTGGCACTCTCATTTGACTTTATTCAATACAAACCTGACAGTGGTTCTAACCCATCACCAACCTATCCAAAATGTAAACAATAAATTCTCTAGACACACTTTATTGTGACCCTGTCAGGCTTCTAAATAATTTAAAGGTGTTGTCTAAGAAACAAACACCACAGAGTGTGCAACCTATTACTTTTATTAGCTAGAAAGGCTTCTTCTGCGCCCTTCCCTGACATTATGTGCTGACTGCTGACTCTATAAACTATTCTTACTTGTAAACTAAATATCGTTAGGCATATAAAAATAACAGTTGGAAAATGGTTTCTCTTGCTGTGGTTGGAACGTATAGATGGGACACCTTTACCTGAGAACGATACTTGGACGAGGTGTGGCACCGATCTGTGGCTCCAAAGCAAAAGCAGCGAGTACAACCTTTCGGATTATCCGCGTCAAGATAGAAAGTTCCCAAGCGGCAGCGGTCACACAGCGGGCCCTCCACGTTTTCCTACATGCAGGTAGAAACTTTAATTAACCAAATCAGTGATATTTATAAATTGCTTGTATAATGTTGATTAAGTCAATCACTTTTACAGCTCACCGAAAAAAAACAAAAAAACATTTGTAGATACTATGTTTTTCATAAGAGCTGACCTTGCACTGGCATTGCCCGGTGAGGGAGTCACATATGCTGGCTTCGGTACCGGCTCGGTTGCAGTCACATGGTTTACAGTTGGGGTATCCGTAAAACCCAGGAGCACATTTCTCACATCGCCGTCCCATGATATTTGGTTTACACCTACAATAGTAAATGTGTGAAGGAAACATGAATAGTGACACTGAGCCTTTGGGATTCCTGATTTTTTTTAAAAACAAAACAAAAGAGATAATCCATTTAAAGATCTGTCACTTGACTGGGTTGAGACCTCACTGTCTATGACAAAGCTACATAATGATTTTAAGAGTTTAGAGCCCATAATAAACTTTATTACCTTGACAGATTTATATATGAAGAGCCCTCTTATATGACAATGCATGGGTCAATACAAGGTAATAGCCCACCCAAGTGTATAATAATGTCAGACAACGGGTTGACAATATCTTAGCGGGTGGTGTCTACACAAAGCTGAAGAACAATTTTGTAGTTTGAATCAATTGTGAAATGAACCCTGGGAATTCCCTTTGAAGCAGTGGCTTTTGCTGGGGAAATTCAGGCATCAGAGATCAGAGGAATTGTTTGTGGTTTGATAAGCTGAGGTATGGACATAGCAGAAACTACAGGCCACAGAGCTGCTGATGGGAACATGTAATGGCCTATAATAACTGGTTGGATAGTACCATAACCTAAATTTTTCTTCTTTGGCAAGCCCTAATTTGTCAAACTGCCTGTCAAGACCCACTCATCAATCACATTCTCTCTTTTAAGTATCCAATCTCACAAGCATGATAGGTAGAATCAAATTAGTTGCTGGAGAAAATAGGAATAGCTCTTTCCGTACATACTGCAAGCAGCTAGATACGATTACAGGAAGTATTTCAAAGGAGAGTATGTGTGTTTCAGAGCCAGGTAATCCTAATTGTGTTTTCCACAAGGCAATCTAGGCAAAAGCTTATGTCCTGGTGGATGTCCAGGGGGCCTAGCTACAACCTTCATGCTCCTGCAGTGTATCAGCGGGATACCAGAATTGCTCAAAGCTGTGAACCTGCCTGTCGCTTCTAAGGGAGAATGCACTTAAAAGCAGCAGGTGTCTGATGAGGCCATGCCAGTACAGACAATACAAATGAGGCTGCTTCTCTGTGCCTACTGCAATCCTTATCAATGTCAATCGGAAGGATGGGGAGAGCAAAGCTACCTTTGCCTAGGGCTCAATTCTACTTTAATCCATCTGCGTGCATCCATCAGCAACCCACCAGTTTCCCCAGTCAATGCTCAAAAATAAAATAAATAATCTGAATTGTTACTGTGGGCAACATAGAAAATTTTCTACTAGGCATGGCGCCTAGTAAGCAGGACTGAAGTTGCCATTGCTGTTGTCGCATGATACATAAATCACATGCCTGTGTCACTTGTTCAGCATTAGGTATCTAGGATTTTGGAGGGAAAGGACCTTGCCTTTATTCTAAATGAAAGTTAATTCAAGGTACCCAGTGTGTCAAGAATATTGTTTCTCACTTACGTGCACTGTCCTGTCTGGATGTCGCAGCTTGGCTCAGTAATATTCTGCAGCCCAATCTTGGAACAATCGCACTCCTCACACCCAACCAGCGGGTGGCAACCAAAGGTCTGTGACTGACAAACGGTGCAGTCTGGTTTCACAGTACGAGGAGGGCAGATACACTGTCCAGTCACCTCATCACACAGGCGTGATCCACATTCACATGCTGAAGTAGAAAAAAAAAAGAATGGTAAGACATTCACTCATTAATCCAACAATTATGTAGATTAAAAGTATCCTGCCACTTCGTGCCTGCAAGCAATAATGGGACCCTTCTGACCATCTTATTTAGATATGTTTGGCTGGACAACATTGTCTCCTAAATTATAATAGTAATATTAATATTCTGGTATGGCTCCTAGTTACAAAGAAATGGGGAGTGAAAGAAGAAGGGACTTTGTTAAACTTTGTGGATGCTACAAGGATTTGATTACAACATGCTCTAAATAACCCATTTAACACGGAATGACAACACCAAGATAAAAGGTTTGCCCTCTTTCATCAGCTGCACTGGTACTCACGCCTGCAATCAGGAAATCCCCAGAATCCCGTGGCACAGCGCGAACAATCTCTTCCAATCACATTGGGTCTGCAAGTGCACTGCCCTCCGTAAGGCTCACACTTTGTACTCATGGAGCCAACCTCATGGCAGTTGCAGGACTGGGCACCGTTGTTGTAGAAGAGAGACAGAGAGATGGCAGCGTCTCGGCAGAATTTAGACGAAGCTGGACTGGTGGGAGAAGACACAGAAAAAGATCAGCAAGACCCCCTATTACCTATCTACGCGATTAGGGAAAAAATAAAGCTGGTTACCTGCTCTGAAAGCTGTTGCTACTGCACTGACTAATAAAACTGTACGACTTGTCCAGTGGTTCCTCCACCAGATAGCTAGAGCTGTGACTGTCTTCAGGAATCACTAGTATGTACTCCTAAAATACAGGTCATAACAGTATTGGTCAGTCCTCAACATTAAAAAGTACCTGGCATTCATTTACAGCAGGCAATGGCCTATCACAGCAATGTCACTCTCGCCTTTTAAACGAGTAGGCTGCATTCTGTGATTGATTCACTCTATAGCAGTCAATGGCACAAAATGTAAATGTTTGGTACACTAGGAATTGTTATTAACCTACCAGCCATATGATCTTTCCGTCCGGTACATGTATGGTGACTGTGATGTCATTGTCGGTCATGCCCAGGATGGCCTGGTCTTCAGACAAAACCAAACTACGGCAACCAAAACCATGAGGGCAGAATGTGGCATTGGCAGAGCCTAGGGAGAGAAAATGGATCATATGTCTATTTCAGTCATCCACAAAATGTGTTTAAAACTGGCTCATGACCTTTTAACACCCATAAGCCTTACCTCTCCAAACCCGGCCACCATGCACCTGTACCTCCAAAGTAAATGATGGCTGGGAGGGTTGATAGTAGTGAATGATGAAGGCGTAACGCCCTGGTGATGGAACACGTCCATTATATGTCACCGTCGTCTGCTTTCCAAAGACAATAGAAAAGAGTCTATTATTACAGATGTTGCTTATGAAATCTGATAACGTTTCAAACAGTAACTTCAGACATTAGATGACATTGGGATTTCGCAGTTATCAGTGGGGAAGCTAGACATTCTGTCACCAGGGGTAAAGTCCCAGGGTGCTCCCCCTGTCCATCCACATACCCAGTGGCGCCCCTCCTAAAGCGGCACCTGGGGCACAACCCCCCCCCCCCCCCACATTCGCCCCCGGCCCCCCCCAAGTTTCGGCCCTGGCAGTTATTTTTATGGCTAGGTGTAATCAGTCCCTGGCTTCTTATGTGTGTTGGATACTCCAGTAGTGAGATCTACCTGTCATAATTTGCTGCACCCCACCTGGGAATTTTGTGTATTCACGTTAATTTTGGGGATGGTGGAAAGACCTCATAATGGGCACAGTAGGTGTGAAGACCTGGGTGCTCATAGACTATGATGGAAATAGTGGCTGCACTACACTTAGAGATGATAGACAACAAATTCAACCTCTTTCTGGATAATTTAGCAAAGAGGGTTCACCACTGATCATCATTTCCCAGGATCATGGAAGCTACCACCATATTCACCTATATCTCCTTCTGCTGATGGAAACTACAGATGCATTTTGTACTTCATCTCTAAGCAAGCAAGTATGAATGTTTTTGGAGGCATAGAATTTATTCCACCCAATGACTTGAACAAGGCTAGGAGCAGGGTCTCACTGTTGGTTGCAAGTGGGCTATGCATAAAAAGACAACTTTAGGTCACTCCACCATGGCCTGTATCTTGTGGAAGGGGGTACAATTTATCACAGACCTCAGGAGACTGCAGACGTATCAGTTTGTTGGCATCTACAGCTGTCGGCGGCAGTGATGTCGGATGTGGCACAGCTTTCTGGCTGTCGGTAGGAATTTGGTGTCCTGGCCATACAGGGATTTTGTTTGACACTGAGCTGGTCTTCCCCTCTGTTAAAACCACTGACTGTGATGGTTTATGGAACCTCGATGAAACGCAAGAACCACTGTGGACCAAAGGAGATATAAGATCAGGAGCCAAGAAAGTATCGTGCAAGCTGTTAGACGCAAATAGGCATGAGCCAAATACCTGCTGGGGTTAAAAGATCCATGAACAGCAATGCAGTGTACTCGTGGCTCGATGTACTCCACAGTGAACTGGTCAGCAGGGATCAGGTAGACTTTGCCCTGATAGAGGAAACAGCAGAAAGAATTTAGAGCTTGAACAAGTGATACAGAGCAAAGAAGACACCAAACACTCTTCCGACACTCACCAGGTGGAACTGAGTCTTGTCTGCTGTAAAGCGAATATTGACTTCTGTGTTAAGGTCAAACAAAGCCACCTTCTGCTGATGGTCCAAAGCCACCCCACGGCACAGGAAACTGTACAGATTTATAAGATATGTCTCAAACAACATAATACTAGTGTACATATTTTTTATTTAAAGTGGCGCAATCCCATGTGAAACATCAGTGTTGAAATTAAGAAAATACTGCCAAAGTGCAGGCACAGCAAGAAACATTTGCCGTTCCTCTAATCAATTTCTGTGTGCCTGGATGCGAGGTGCATGCTATTGAATGTCTTCAATGTTTGTTACTTCAAGCTTAGCTCTGCCCCCACCTGGACATTAGGGCCCAATATGGGATATATATGGTAGCCAGAGGAACTTGAAACTCTGTAGTCCAGGATACAGAAATTGATTACAAGGTTATCAGAGATACTTACAGCACCACAAATGACTTTGCTAAAATCAACAAACTGATGTACCCAAGTTCACATTAAATAACAAAAACAGAAATAGTCACATTTCTAAAATCATAAAATCTGAATATCTGCTTATATTTCTAAGAAACACATAGCAGAAAGTATTACCATCCTGCTATGGGTTAGGGGTTTTGAGGTGACAAGGATTTTTTTTTACATTTAAGAATGAACTTGATGAACTTGTGTCTCTTTTTTTCACCAACGCAGAAAAGATACAGACCTGAATTTGCAAGGGAAGAAGCTGAAGACTCCATGCTGTGTAGGACGTTGAGGAGAGTTTACTGTAACACTGGTGGTCTGCATATCCTCCTCATTGGCGTACTCTACGACAATAGCGTAACGGCCCGGGTGAGGAACTGGCAGATTGAACTGGACATCAATCTAGGAGACAGACCATGGTGTTCAGCGTTTTTATAAACCACCTAAACACTTAATAATGACATCAATGTTCTCTCTTATTATACGCACATCGCTTCCATAGCAGCCAATCAATGGTGGGTGCCGGGGGGTGATCTGCTCTGTGTGGCAGGGTCGGGGAAGGCTATTGTCAATTCGGCAGGTACCTTCAACGCCCTCTGAAGATGGGAATCCATCCAGAGAGAGATATTTGTACAGCAGGCAACTGAAAAACAATGTGATTAGAGAGAACAACATCAGTACAAAATAATGAGACTCTATTAGATAAATATTACTAATCCCAATGTCTGTGCCATCTTATGATATATAGGCTTTTTACTGTTAACTGTTATCTCTCTAATGAGTCTTTATCATGAGCACTAATAGGCCTACATCATGCACTTTTTAACTAACGCCATTTTTGGTTCTTGGCTAAATTGTGCAGTTTAGAGGATCCTTACTTCTGATTGGCCTGCTCTGAAGTTGGAGCATATGTGCAGGCCTCAGTCACTTTCACCTGGAGAATCGGAGCCTCATAGTAGGCACTTGGAAGTAAGACAAAGTAATCCTGGTAGAGGAAATATATATACGGTAAAATCAGAATACTGTTATCAAATCATTGACATACTTCTAAGAGGAGCCAAAAGACTTACCAGGAGCACATCCTCCACCTCAATCACCACCGACCACGTGTTTGGATTAAGAACAAAAGGCTCTCCATAGCTACTGCTCGGGACAGTGACAAAAGCCGGTTCTTTGCTTGGAGGAAAAACGATTTGCTTGATTTGCTCAGAACCTGCACAGAGAGACAAATTGATGGTGTTATAATAAACTTGATGAATTGTTGTGTTGTACATGATTGGTTAAAGAAGAGCTCTGGCTTAAATATATTGTCCTCATTCAGTTTACTGTACACCGTTGGCGTTTACATCCTTCCAGCAACACTCTCTACATCCATTTGGCTTAGAGTGGACATATATTAGCAGATCCTGAGAACTAAAGCCAGTGAGAAACCTGCCCTGGTCTGACTTGGGAACCAGATAATAATTCTTCCTATTAGTACAATGTTGTAGAAAACATGTCATGGTCTATATAACAGATTTTTTTATGTGTTCAAGTTTCAGAAGAGAACGTTAATGGAGCCAGCTCTCAGTGACCTCATGGCTATGTGTTGGCAAATGCCATTCCAGTCCAATGAAACTGCGGATGAAGGATGGAAGGAAAGGAAAGGAAGAAAGGTAAAAAAAGAAAGAAAAAGGAAAGATAAAGCGGATAGACAGGTACATGGACAGACATTAAAGTGTAGTGTTTTGTGACTGGTTGCCTGATCTGTCCATTAAACACATTTTCATAATACTACTAGAAGCGGAAACAAGAATGATAATGCAGCACATTATCATTCTATCAGGAAGAAGTAAAATCTGCAGCTTACTGAAAGAACACATACTTTTATACTGTACATGAGGTTTGTGGTGTTCACTGAAGGTTTGAGATTATCCAAATTTATGAGTTTCCTCAGCTGTCTCTTCATAAAAAAAGTTTCAAAATGTCAAGCAGCCAGCTCAGCTTTGAGCAGCCAAATCCACAAGCCTTGTAATTATGTTTCTGCAGAAACATATCCCCTAAGAAGATTAGAGAGGGGCCTCAATACGCTCACACCAGGGACAAAAACGAAGAGTAGATCTTGTGTCGACAGTCCCACCCCCCAGCCAGCATTAATGAGACATTCCTCGGCTAGTCGAGTCTCAGTGTCTACTCTCTGGAATGTACCATTAGTATGCATGGGGTGGAAAGACGATTGGGCACTTACAGTTAGCACAGGCATTGAACTTCTTCTCTTCTATAAATGACACCTTCCCGTATACACTATCTGTGCCGCGGTTGACGTACCGAAACACCACACGGAAAAGGTCAGGGGATGTCACGTTAATAGTCAGTATGACCTTTGGCTGTGAAGAGATGGGGAGAAACAATGTTAACATATGACGATGGAGAACCACACTTTATTACATATCGTGACTAAACAGCCCATCATTTGAAAACAGAACCTTTAAAACACATACAGGTCTCCTGCTAAATAGCCATATATGTATAGATGTGTATATATATATATATAGAGCCACTGAAAAATTGATATTTACAATTACTATACCAGTAATTCAATGTTAATATAAATTACCTTTCAAGTTATTCTACTGGCAGCTATAATCTTCTAAAACTGGTAAAACCTTCCACCATGGCTTCCGTGCAATTTTAACACATAGGACCTAATGTATCAGTTCTGTTGCTGCCTCTAAAATTGACAAACTCTCCCTCTTGTTTTTCCAAAGTGCACTTGAGAATACGACCTTTTGCAGACAACATAACCCTTCTCTTCCATAAGTACAGGCTGGTCTCACCTGATACGGTGACATTTGGGCATATCCTCTCCAGCTGAAGTTCTCAAACTCCAGAGGATTGAAGCCAAATCGGACTGGCCTTCCATCCGTCGTCCGCCCATCTTCCACTTCATACCTCAGGTGGTGCAGATCCGGGAAATAATATCCGTTCACAGGTCTGGGAGGTGAAACATAGTCAATCAGGAGTCTGCACAAAAAGCTTCCCAATAACTTGACATCATGGGCAGTTTTTCAGGGACGTAGCAGGGATACACCCCCTTCAGTACTTGGGATTTTCATCTTTCATTGACACTCAAGGATAGCCAAGGTTTTTAAAGGAAACCCGTACTAAGAAACTTTTGGGACTGCCATTGTTAACTTCTTCTTAGAATGCCACTTGCCTGGCTGTAAAGCTAATCAAGTGTTTTCAATATTTTCTGAAAAGGAATAAGTATGCAGATCCACAGCTCTGATTTCATTCTACTTCCTAATCTAAATTCTTGTTACAAGTCAGAAATATCAGGTGGTCAGCATTGGCAGTCCTTCGTTTTCTTTTCGTACTCCTTTAAAAAGCGAGATCACAAGACGGCTCACAATGGGTCTGATTTATTAATGAGACAAAGAATTATCTCCAACACTTTATGTTGCCAACACTCTTTCCTTTTTTTGGCTATAATGTAAAACAAAAAGCAGGAGGATCAAAACTGCAACAAGTTGTATTTTAAAAGAAAGAAAAAAAGTAATGCTAACGTGCATTGCAAAAACATTATAGAGGAAGAAATATGCAATTAAGATTGAAGCAAATAAAGCTTTTGTGGACTCATATGCTTACACTAACATTGCACTGCACGGTCCTGAAATGCCCCTAAAAATAGCAGCCATATTGTTTCATGGCCGGCCTCTGTAGAGGTGCCCGGCTTCATTTACTAACCCTGAATGAAGTTGCAGACAAATTCATCAATTAATTATCCCAAGGTCATTTTCAATACGGTTTACATAACCAGCTGTAGTAAAACGAGGGGGGATAATGCTGTACAAACATCTAATGCCATTTTTTACAGTGTAATGATAGTCCACAGCAGCTGTCTCTCTCCAGTTTAAATGGAGCTGATTTCAACGGGACTTCATTAGCTGGAACAGCTGATGCTCAGTGACAAGAGTCCAACATACACATCCGGTACTAATCTGGCAATTACTAGCCTGTGTGATAGTTCCGCAATTCCAGCCCGGTTCCCAGCACACACTCACCGGTTGCACTTCGGTCCCTCCACATTTTCACGACACTGGCAATCACCCGTCCTGGCGTTGCATGCCAAGCCGACTGAGCCTCCGATGTCACACTGGCATCCTGCAAGGGGGTAAAAAACACCTGGTGAGTTCACTCTGCCAAGCTGCGAGGACTGGGCCCAAGTTGGCAGCAAATAGGATATATATAGCGGCCTTAGCTGTGGAATGCGTAGGAGGCATCCGCTCTTCTAGCAGTGCATTAAGAAGGCATTTCCAGATATCCAATTAGAGGGGAATTCATCACCCTGTGGCATACAGGACTGTATCTGACAGGGTGAGGTTGTAGAATGAGAACATCTAGGTGCCTGCGCTTTACACCTGCAGCTGGTTTTTACTGACAGATTTCCTTTAACCCAATCATAATGCTATCACCACCAGACTCCATGACAGATACAAGATACTGGCAGGTGATTTATCTCTCCTGCAAACCAAAAATAATAGTTTGGGTGGCTTGACCCTTTACAGCAACAGCTGCGTGTGTATATTATAGATCCCTTTATTGCAGCAGAGTGCCAATATCCACTAATAAAAAAGATTTAGGGGAAAGGGTTGTTGAATGAAAATGCATTGTGTATAATGGCTACTACATGGATTGGAAACCTTGGCACTCCAGCAGTTGTGGAAAGTGCAGGCTCCCATCCTGTTCCTATCTCTATTGACTAGTGCAGGGGTAAGCAACTTGGGCACTCGGGATGTTGTGGAACTTCAAGTCCCATGAGGCACTGCAAGACTCTGACAGCCACAGGCGTGCCTCCCAGAGGCAGAGACATGATGGGGATTTTAAGTACAGTTAGAGTGCCCAGGTTGCCTACCCCTGGACTACTATGTTATCATGAACCCTGAGAAGCAAGAATCTGTCAGGCACAACTTGTGCTTCCTACAGCAGTCTTTTTCAATTAAAAATTAGTTAGTTTTATCCAACCAATGTATCCATGATGGAAATAGGTGGATTTCCTTTAGATCTCTTCCCATATAGTGAATTTGGTTCTTTGGTGTATAGTAGTATCGTTATGTAAACTTTCTTGGAGGTGTTAGACTGGAATCAGAATTTACCCTGACATCCAAAGTAGCTGTCGGGCTTCAGGTTGTGGTAGCCATCTTTGCACTTGCTGCATGATCCGCTGCAGATATTAGGCTTGCAGAAACACTGTCCAGTCACCTGCAAACAATTCAGGTGTTATCAGCATTAACAGTAAACCAAATACATAGAAAAGTCCTAATGAATTGGGATTGTTTAATAAGGCAAACAGCAATGCAGAAAATGCAGCAACCTATGAGCAGCCAATCATCCTTGACAGCTCTTAACTGGCCGTTCATACAGTGACAACAAGAACCCAGTTGTGATTCTGTCCTGGACAACAACAGCCTGGAGAAATGGAATGCTTGCTTTAGGCACTAAACAGACAATTCCCATTTCAGACACTGATAACTTAAGTCGGGTATGCACGCTTCCATTTTCTTTATTCAACCTGCTGGCTGAATGAAGAAGATAGAACAGATTCCTCCATCAACGCTTATGACTATTGATTGAGGAATTTTCTGCTGTTTCCTTTCTGCTCATTGGCTGCTAGCTCTGTTCGGTCAACAATCTTCTGACATGCTCCTTTGATCAGCTGGTTGAGGGATGCTGATCAGAAAGGTGCATTAAATTTCGAAGCATGTATACCTGGCTTTAATGTACATGTTTCCCGGTCACATACAATCATATTACTTCCCTTGTTTTCAATGACAACTGGAATCTGGTTGTTCAATTTTCACAATACATGAGACATCATCTCAGACAAGAATAGTCTCTGAGTTGCAGTGTGAGAAGGCCTGAGAGCAACTCAATATATACAGAGGGGCCCAAATGGAGAATGGAGTACTGTGAGTGGTTTCGACAAACTGGCCATTCATGCGCTTTATGCAGATGAGCAATTTTACCTCCAGAAAGATGGCGCACCACCTCACTACCACCGAGACATAAGAGCCTATCTCGATGACATTCTGCCAGGATGTTGGATAGGACGCAGAGGTGCTGCTGAATTCCCTCCACGTTCCCTGGACTTAACACCCCTCAATTTTTATCTGTGGGGAACGCTAAAGAATGTTGTATACAGTAGAAAACCACCTACGCTGGCTGCACTATGGGAAGAAATTGAAATATCATGCAGAGCAATCCCTGTGGACACACTAGTCAATGTTGCTCATGCAGTAAAACGTTGAATTGAAAAGTGTCTGAATGTAATGGTGACCACTTTGTGCACCTAATGTGACTTGCATGTGCCCTTTGATATTTATATAAATCTAGTAATAACAATTTTTATGCATATACTTTTCATGGTGAAGTGTGTATACATTTTTTGGGCCCCTCCGTATAAATAAATGAGGCTCAGACATTCAAAGAGACCCAATTTTAAACAGTCCAGTGGCTAGTCAGGCAGATGTAATAAATCTCTCCTTCTAGACAGCCAACTATGCAAGTAATATCAGAAAATCGATAGGAAAACATCCTGATCTTTGTCAAGCCTGCAGTTCCCTAACCTAGCGTCCAACTGATATGTCACCTGCTTCACAGTTTACCCATCACCCTAGATAACCTTTCTGCTACGCTAAATACAGCAAGTCTCTTGCTTAAACTCAACACCAGCTGCCCAAAGAAGATAACGTTAGCTTCAGTTTGAGTGACATCAGCTAGAGCAACCCCATGTCTGCAAGTGGTCCCCAAAACAGCTAGCTGTCCATTGTCGGGAGGGAACAGCCAATTGGTGAGCTAAGGAACTTGCCCCAAATTAGACTGTCCCTCAAATGATAACCCTGAACCAGCCTCTTCTCCGATTTTCATCCTCTCCAAGAGAGGCCAAGCAGAAATTACAAATTAAGAGAGCTTTCTGCTAGCGGATACAAAAGACCTACTAGTAGATTCATTGGTTTCAACCACATTTTTTCACTAGTGAGGCAGTGTACGTGTTTTGCTGATATCACCAAACGATGGCTTGTGAACATTTCTTAGTGTATGTGTCAAGGAGCAACTGATTATGTTTGTTTACAAGGTGCACACATATTTAGGATATTGGACATGTTGTTCCAATTGGTTAAGGGAAACAAAATTTGGTGCAAAAGACACATTTTACATCTGTGATCATAATGACAATATGCAGTCCTTGTATCATCTGACATTATATTAAAGCTGAGCTGGTCTGAATCAGGAATAAAAAAGTAGCACCCCTTCCTCTATCTTGCTGCATGTAACATATATTCTAGATGCATTCTGGATGATGTGTTTTATTGTCTTACCTGCTGACACTCGCCTACTCCATTTAATGTCCCTGAGCCACACTCGCATCCTGCACGAAGCAAAGAAATTTGTCGTCAGTATAACCAAACACAGATCTTTATATTCCAGTTTGAAGAGAAACATAGTTATTCCTTCTTACGTTTGCAGCCTTGTGGGTTTTCTGGTGCTAGATCCCAGTATAGAGGTTTACATTTGTCGCATGCGCTTCCTTCCACGTTCTCGCGACACTCGCAGGTTCCCTGTGCAATAGAAGAGAGCAGGATGAGGACCTGCAATATGCAGCAATGTCTCTGCATAGTTCCCCCAGGAGAGGGGAAGGAGGAACAAGCATGCCAGTGTTATTCGAGGCACAAATGCCACCCAGCGTCCTACGACTGCTTCTCCCCTCCCACGACAAGACTCTTCCTACACCTTTAAAGGACCAGATCCCCATTGCTGGCAGAAGGGTCAGTAGTGCACAGGGCTTTTAATCAACACTGTCGTCCCCCCTTCTGTGATCACCTCCTCTGCTCAGTGATACATGTCACCCGATGCCAGAGCTAGAGTGCATTCTGACTGCCAGCTCCAAAAAACAGCTGTGACCCTTCAGGCAGACCCTTCTTCATTCTGCCTGGCTTGTCTTCACCCACACGTCATGGCAGTAATAATGCACACTCAGCACCTGCTCAGGTTCCCGCAGAGGTCACCAAGCCACTTCCTAACCCCTCATTAATGATTTCCATCTAGATACACTTGGCTCATATAAAAGACAAACCAAAGACTTTACAGTGTGTTTAGACATGTATCTCAAACAAATGTGCTTTATCTAATGGACATCATCAATGTGTGAAATCTGAAAGCCTTTTTTTCTTGCATACTAGTGCTGCCCAGTGAGTGCACCTTACTGGTCCTCGTTCTTACTGTTCACCTATTATAATGAAGGATGGGCTCGGGCGTGTTCGCAGCTCCACGTGCCGAGCCCGCCAGGAAGCTGGCAGCGCCAATCACAGGCACTGAGACACTTCCTGATCTCTGCAGCTGCGGACCGGGAAAATGTCTCAGCACCTGTGATTGGCGCTGCGCGCTGTCAGCTTCCTGGCGGGCTCGGCACGTGGAGCTGCGAACACGCCCGAGCCCATCCTTAATTATAATCACAGTAAACAATGCAGTTACTAGGCAGCCAATTCCGCTATCTCAGTCAAGGCCCTAAAAAAATAGTTAAACATTTACAGATGGGAAAAATCTATAAAACCCTTAAAATAATGTTGAAAATCAAACATATAAAAAGGTTGCAGGTTAGTTTTTTTAAGATAAATGCAACAATATCAACTAAAGGTGTGTGCTTGTTTCCTATATTAAAAAAAACCAACTATAATAGGAGAAATTAGAAGGTTGCCATTGCTGACTTCTTCTGAAAATGCTGGGTTGACTGGCCGTCATACAATTTCAGGCTGCCCTAAGGGACACTATTGAGAACCTCCAACATCTGATACAATTTGCTTGTAATCCCTTCCCCTTCTTCCAGCACCTCCACAGAACTGGCATGTGTATGGGCGGCATGTAGCCCAATTCCCTTTGTGGCCTGCAGCACCATGGTGCAAGTAACTAACTGTATGGCCACTGCTACACCAGCAACCCTGATGTATACTGAAGGTGAGGACAGGCAAACAAATGAACTAGTAAACCACTAGCCTCATCCTGAAATTCACATCACGTTTACCCTCCGAAGACTAGACGAGAGTCTGCAATGTGGCAGCCACCAATCAATCCCATCAGCTCTTCAATCACATCTGGTCTTTTAATGCTCCTGAAATACCGGAATGGCTACCCATTCAACTGAACAGCAATAATAATATTCGCTCCCAATAATTAGATTAATGGCCCATTCAACTGAACAGCAATCATCATATTCGCTCCCAATAATTAGATTAATGGCCCATTCAACTGAACAGCAATCATCATATTCACTCCCAATAATTAGATTCAAGGCCCATTCAACTGAACAGCAATAATAATATTCACTCCCAATAATTAGAACAACAGTAATAACAAAATGCCAAAATGTATTAAAGTAAAAGGACGGATAAAAGATAATTTAGGAATCACCTCTGGAGGATTCACAGTGGTGGAGGTAGATCCAGCTGGATTACAAGGACCGACTGAAAGAGGAAAAATAGAAAAAGTTTTAAATCTAGATCAGATCTAGAACACAAATCTGTAACGTTATCTCCAGCCAAAACATTTTTTACATTTACATCAGTGATCAGAACTGCCTTCCAGAAATGCCACCCTTGTAAAGTAAAATGCAAAATCTGAGTAGTTGTCGTCCGGCCTGGCCTAACTCTTTCGTATTTACTTTTCTCTTCCCTCTGCTTTCCCTTTTACTCACCTTTCTCCCCTATGAGAGGATCAAAAGGACCTTTATCATTTTCTATTTTCTACTCTTTTATTGTTCTATAGTTTTCTAGTTGGCTATTGCTGATAAGGGTTATTGGTTTATTTCTTTTATATTCCCTTACGGTTACCAGTCTGAGGATATTACAGTTTTTAATAACGGTTCTTAAACTTCAGTTGTTTGATGTTGATCTCTTCCTGCGGGAAGCACTGATTTGCACTTATTGAATTTATTTGTACTTGATTCCTTTTATACAGAATGGATATTGTGAAACTGTTTTTTTTTGTCTTGTCATGTACTTCTCAGTCAATAAAGAATTTAAAAAAAATAAAAAATCTGACAGGAAGGGTGAAGCCACCTCTTTACACTGCAGTAAAAATGGAAAGTATAGAGGGGAGGTCTAACCACTGAAGTCCCTGAAAGGTAAAAAAATTAAGAAACCGATGGCTGATTCTACCCAACCGTTCCCTAAAACTAAAATATTAGGTAAAGCCGTAAAACATTCCTAGGTCCCAATGGATTAAGCTCTTAAAAATACAGTTGAGCATAATTTGTAACAGTGAAACATGCAGCAAATTATTTCCTTTAGTGGGATTTACCTTCACAGTTGGGGAACCCATAGGTGCCAGAGGTGCAGGTATCACATTTGAGTCCTTTGACGCCTGGACGGCACCTGCACTGCCCGCTGTGGGGGTCACATGTGGTATAAAGGGAACCTTCTCTTGAACACTGACAAGCTGTACAGACAAAAGGCAGATTTTCAAGAAGTCAAACTGGTAGCATATCAACTGCGCTACACAAAGGCTACAACAATAATGATGTCACTCATTTCACAATGATGTCACAAAATGCCATTCGTTGCCCAAAGCCACTTGTCCATTGGCATGATAAGGATCAGCCCTGTCAGTTGGCATGATAGCCAAACAGTAGGACTAGCGTTGTTCGGTGTGACAGCACGGGAAAACTATTCAGTAAGCAAATCAATGAGGGTTAGTCTGCCCAAAACTGTTATTTCAGCATTTGGTAGAAGCAGAAGGGTTAATCCACCTGACAGTTTCTTCTTCTATGTCTTAAGGAGTTTATTGGTGAGATCTCTGCGCTGAGTTCCCAGGTCTGCTCCCCTGCTGTGTGCATTATAAGTATAATTATATAATGGAGAATGTAACAGGAGGAGCTGGAACACACAAAGGTGGTTGGGAACACCCAACATTACCAGGTGGACAGGAACATGAATTATGGCATAGAGTGACCACACTGCTGGAGAATTCAAGACATATTAGAAGCCAGGGAATGAATCAACTCCCCCAGGCATCCTCTACAAAAGAATATGCTTTTTGGGTGAACTGACACTTTAAAGCAACTTTATTCAAAGCCAATATGGCCATATGTTGTAAGTTAAGCTCCTGAGGCAATCATCTAGATCCTACTAATAACAGAACAGAGTTAGCACGGTTTGAAGCAGGTGTCCACATCTCTCAGTCTGCGAGTAATATTTGGGGATGCTGTAACTTGTAATGACGTAATGATGCTTTCTTAAGGTTGTAGCCATTTTTGTTTTATCGGAGGCCTGTACATGAGGATTTTCAATTTTTAATTGAGCTACAGTCACCCTTATAAAGCACAGGTGACATAAGCCTTCTTTATAATCTTTCCAATAAGATATTGTGCTCCCTCCAGTGGCTAGATGTAGTAGTTACAACTCTTACTCACATATACAGCTGGGGAATCCATAATATCCTGCTGCACATTGGTTACAGGTCAGTCCTGTATAATTGGGGCGACATTGGCAGTGACCAGTTGGGGAGCAGTTGTTATGCACGGAGCCCTGAGGATCACAGGAACAAGCTGTAGAGAAACACAGTAGAGGTTAAGCATCAATCAACATTCAGAACACAAAAACCACCAGTCAGCGGTCTGCATTAAGTGCGCAGCTCCAGTATTGACCAAAAGAGGTCACTTCAGGCAGGCAAGTAAAGGATATTAAGACTTCCTAAAACATGGTAGAATGCCTGAGACTATAGGCAACATCCTAAAAATAGTTATATTGATACTCCTGTTTTAAAACAAAGTATTTAAATCCTCCACCTTCCCTTCCCAGAAAAATTATGGTGGAATTGCCTTTTTTGTAGTTTCTAAAAGGAAACACCAATGGCTTGCTCCAACAATCAGTAGGCAGTTTTAATTTGACACATGAACAATCACTGCTGAGTGCTCCCCCAATCAGAAGGTAAAAGTTTGGGGTTGAATCAGTTTTTACTGTGGCTAATGGACTAGAAGTTACAACGCATGAATCTACAGCTTGTGCCTTTCCACCTTTCCTGCAACATCTATGAGAGTCGTGGTGGATGTCCCCGGTCAAGCAGTGGTCAAGGCAGTAGTTCAGCAAATCAGATACAAGCCAACACAGAACTGATTTCATATGCCAATGGATGTGAACCAACACCATACCTTGACAGTAAGGATATGAGTGAAATCCCGCAATGCACTGCTCACACCTGGGCCCTTCATACTCCGGTTTGCAGAAGCAACGGCCATTTGAATCACAGCCTTGTGGTAACGTGCCAACCGAACTGCAGCCACACACTGCAAAAATATATAGAAACAACATAATCAAAAGTCAGTGTATTCAGGGCAAGAAAAGACAATTTCTAATGTATAAAGGTCAATGTCTTGTGAGTCACACATCCCAGAAATTGAAGATAGCTCATGAAGACACAACTCACACTGACAAAGAGGGTAATTGAAGTAGCCTGGAGCACATTTGTCACAAAAATCGCCTTCAAACCCATCCCGGCACACACAACGCCCGCTGTCCTTGTCACAACTACCGTCATACACCCCAGACCCAGAACACTGGCACTCTGCAAGATAAAAAAAATAATGGAAAGTAATTCTTAGCGAAAGGAAAAAAATCCTTCATGCACATGGAAGAAATAAGAGGGGCTTTGTTGCACATGGCAACCAATCAGAAACTAGCGGTTCTTTTTAAGACAAGTTACATGGTAACACTTGATTGGATGCAATACTCAACAGCCTTTTCAAAAAAACAGAGATAGCACCATTTCTTTTTTAGTTTTTACTGCTGTTCATGACTATGTTGAGGATCTTTGTTGCAGTCTGAGTCCTCAATGGGTAAATCTCCTCAATGGGGACAAAGAGAGAAAATAAAATATTGACAGAGGATCGAACCCTTTCCCACTTTGCAAAGAGTAAAAACAAATGTGCCTTGAGTTCGGCTTTAAAGTCCTAATCCTGGCAAAATATGACCACCTTTCAACCCCCTCTAACTCATCCTGCAAGGGTTTTTTTCTTACCTACTAAAGAATGATATATTCACCTAAGTCCCCTATCCAAGTCCCTCGCCACCGCCATTTTTAAATGCCTTAGACTGTTAATCCAGAGCTGCAGATGAGCCCGAGATGGCCAGCACCCCCCTACCATCGTCCCGTGCTCATGTCACGCTTCTACTAGATCCTAAGAGGATACCCTTGCTAGACAGCCAATATGAAGTGTCTACATCATAGGCAGTGGCACCCAAAAACTGACCCCGCCGGAAGAAGCTAAAGGAAGAGAGAAGACTCTTTTGCAAGACTTGAGCATGAAGTGAACGCGGCATTAGATAAGCAAAAAGGGCATTTAGATTTGCTCTTTGTTCTAGCTGTGCCGCCCCAACAGGGGCATAGAATATGAGATGCATAGCCTCAGTTAATATTAGCATTGTTATATAGGTTAGAATTTATATAGTGTGATTTGCCTAACTATTTTCTCATAGCTAAATCCATGTGTTATCCTATGCTGCCATCTAGTGGCCTTTTGTTGTAATATACATGTCTTTCTGTAATTATTCCTCATGTGACGACGTATTTCCCCCTAGTGTACGCCCCTTCCTTCTTCCTGTGTGCAGTACTTCCTGTGTCATGGCCACAGTGAACAGCCACATGTAACAAGGACACATATGTAATCTGCACAGTACGTAGGAAAGGCATCATCTTTTGACCGCACAATACTATAACTGTTCATCTGCTGTTCCTATCATCTGCTGTAACCTGATGTTAAAGAATAAACACCTCTTTTGAATGAATCGGTATTGACGAGTTCAGCTATCTGACGAGGATTGTCCGCAGTGAGTATATCTGCTTATACAGGCCGGGCATAGAGGTCTCAGCAAGGGATATATTTCGCTATCACAACGATCGGAGTCAGAATACTAGCGATCAGTTAGAGGGGTGGAGGGTGTTATATTTCTCCCCGAGATGGGTTTTAAATTTCAGCATTCCCCTACAAAGAAAACAGCAGCCATTTTGGGGCCAGTAGCAATGTCTACAGAAAGAAAGCCTATTGGTTTGGCTGGAATTTGTGACATCACACAGGTGTCAAACAGCAGATAACGAAAAGGAATTATTCAGCGGGACCTACAATATAAGACTTACCTTGGCAGTCCTGGCCATAGTAGCCAGGAGCACACGTGTTACAACTTTCTCCTCTGAAGTTGCGTTTGCACACACAGGCTCCTATGATGGGATCTTTACGGCACGCGTTTGCTTCTGTTCCAGCAACGTTGCAATCACAGGCTGGGGAGAAGAGGATGAAAATTCTATTACTCGCTTATATGCTCAATTTCTAGTCACATGATTTCCAAAGTATTACAAAAGAGTTTAATTATCAAATCACATCAAATTCAATAAAACAGAGAACAGGAGAGATAAAGATTAAGTTTTAATAAAACATGTATTACTCTTCAAGAAAGCACATGGGGCCGTACATTTTTTTGGATGATGTGTACAATGTCATTAAAATGCAATATTAATATCCATGTATAAAAGTATTAAATAATGTTCGTACTTATAATCTCTCCAGCTGGCTGTTTCTGTGCACCCGTGTCATCATCCGGTATCTCAGGAACAGCTAGAATACGAAAAGGATAGATATGAGATACTGTGCCACCTCCTCTTGAACAACTAAAATGACATCAAATATAACACCGAACACAAACCCCAGCGTTTTCTAAACTTTTACTGCAACAGTGGAAATATACATTAAGGCCACCTCACACAAGTGATCCTATTGCAGGCAACAACTAGTCAGCACCAGGATCACTAATATAGCACTTACCTATTGCAATAGCATTACTCCCTTGCTAGCTGGACCAGTGAGATGTTGCTAGAAGGTAAGAGTCGCCAACATACCAGGCCAGCAAGGGAGAGATCCCATTACGGTAAGTGGAAGCCTCCTCTCTGGGATTCTACTGCTGGCAATGATTCTGCAGCAGAATTACCCATGAGACATGGCTCTAAGGTCAATGGATACTCATTTATGTTTTGTTCTAATGAAAGGAAACTTGTAGGCCGCAACTGCTGTCCCCTTCTTGATTCCCACCAAAAAAAAACATTTGTACATTCTTCCCATGCTTCCTACATTGGTTGGAGCAAGTAACCAAGTGCATTACCATTGTAGAGACATTAGATTGTAAGATCCTTTGATGGCAAGGACTGATATGAATGGGAGAATATTCTCTGTAAAAAACACTGTTAGTGCTACATAAATAAGATGAATACATCGGTCCATGCATTTTGCAGACTAGTCTGCCCATCCCTAACCAAACCCGATGTGCTTGTGTATGGACAGTGTAAGAGCCTTACGGTAACACTCAGGAAATTCCATATATCCCTCTGCGCATGATGCACAGTTTTCGCCTGTGTAGTTGGGTTTACAGTAACATCGCCCCGTCAGGTCTTCACAAGTCCCACTCATGTACTCGGACTCACAGGCACAGCCTAAACAGAATATATGACGCCATCTTAACCTTTTTCTGTACACAAGCAGTTATACTGACAATTATGGAGGCGGTTCAGTATGATCACACTCACGTTGACAGGTGTAGGGTGAGTCAGTGGAATGATCAGGTGATTTGTAGTATCCCGGGCGACATCGTTCACAGTTGACGCCATCCGTATTGTGCTGCAAGACAGTTTTGTTTACAGTTTTATATTTGCTTTATTGACAAAAGCAGAACAGCTGTCTTTTTAAGGGGAGCGTTGGCAGCTTCCATATTTCTAGCCCAACAATCACTACAATTGTAGAACACAATGATAAGGCTTCTCCACTAATCGTATTACATTCACATGTTTCACAAATGATTGATTGCCTCTCACCTGACAATCCAGGCAGACACCTCCTCCCGCGTATTGCCCCTGGCGGTTCATGCTCGCCCTGCGCTTTTCCACCTCTGGATCATAGTAACAGTCATAGGCGTGGCCATTACAATTACACGCTGTGAAATAAACCGTGGATGCGATTTAGCGGCATGTGATGTGAGATCACAGTGTAGCAGGATATTAGGAAACCATACAGAGCCTGCCTTTACTTATATAACATTCACAAGGCTTTTTCTGAGCATATGTTAAAATGCTATCTGATTTCGGCACCATTACATTTTTAAAACAGTTGTGGCAATAACAGGTTGCTGTATCTAAATATTGGCCGAAGCAAGTCACAGTATTTGGGCATGCAGAACAAAGATAATTCTTAATAAAAAAACAACAGTTCCAACAGAGACATGATTTAATCATAGCAACATTTTTGCGTATTAGCTACATACGACATTTTATGGAAGAAATTCCATTGATTCAATTGGGCTAAGTTAGCACTTCTGTCTTGCAGCACTGGGGTCCTTGGCCTGAATCCCAGAACCCCCTTTGCATAGCTGTTGAATGTTCTCCTTGTGCTTGTGTGGGTTTCCTCTGGTTTCTTTCCACAGTCTGGTAGGTCAATTGGCTCTTGTCTAAAATTGGCCCTAGTATGTGTATGTATGTATGTATGTATGTATGTATGTATGTATGTGAGATATGGACCTAAGATTGTAAGCTCCTGGAGGACAGGCACTGATGTGAATGTACAGTAAGCGCTGCAGAAATTGTTGGCACTGTAAATAATAATTGATCATTTGGATACAGTAAAGAAACAAGTGATCTCTGAGATTAAGTGATGTCATATATGGCACAGCATACAAGGCAAGATGGGACTTCAAGAAAAATAATGCCAATTCCGGGGCAGACTGGGTTGTGTGGCAAGTCTCCAACTTGGCTGTCCATCCTTGGTGACAGCCAAATCACCAAATTTGGCAGATAACTGTATGTGCTCTAGGTGCCCAATGCCCATATCATGCAGGAAACCACAAACACTGAACAGCTATGAATGCATCCTCTATCCCACATGTTTCTGACGTATATGTTGTTAATCAAACAACTTCAGGGGTTCTTCAGGCTGAAAGCTTGCCCAGCATACAAGATCTATGTCATGCCAGGGAACTATTTGTTATTATCTGCCTATTAATACCGTATATACTCGAGTATAAGCCGAGATTTTCAGCCCATACACCTCGTTACATGGGCCATTGTCAAGCTATTAGGCACACACTGACAATCATTGGCAATATATCTGTTTGTGAAAGATAACAACTGAATCAGTGAGTTGAATGCTATACTGTACGAATGAAAGCATAAACGTTACAGCTATGCATGAGCTGCCCTTCCACTCACATGCAGGATTGATAGAGTTAGAACATAAAATGTCAAATCTTGCATCGCAGATAATTTTTATCTCTAATTGTCAAATAGTTCAAGATCAGACTGGATGTTTTTTTCAGGTAAAGTAAAAAAAAAGAAGAATGAAAAAACAATTATTTATAAGACATACGTTCACATTCGTTGGAATTATCCATGTTTGCCGGTTGCCACGCCACCTGGTGGAAGCCAGGACAGCAGGTGTCACATGATGTTCCACAAGTGTTGTGCTGGCAGCCGCAATGCAGCCTAAAGGAAAAACAAAAAGGGGGTAAAAGCTTGTTTAAAAAATTATGTTTTCTATGTATAATTTATAACTATACAGTATGTGTACATGTTGTACGTTACTCTCCCTTCACACAACTATCTATATATGTCAGCTGACATATTAAAACAATGCTCTCCCAACGTGGCTGATATCTCAGCAGTTAGCATTGAGCCACTGAGAACACCCTTTACAAGCTACTCTAATCATACCATAGCAAAAATATGAAGTTGTGTCAAAAATTACTTAAAGGTAAACACTGCAATAATAACTAAAAATAAGTTCTTACTGAAAAGACATTCTACGTTCGCTTTAAGACCATTCTCTACATAGGCAGAGGTTTGAAGAGGGTAAAATGGCAGCTCCCCATTCTGCCATCTCGAATACCTGGCAAGCTAGAACTGAATTGAACATTATGAGGACAACTAATATATATAATATAAAAGATTTACTGGCTGGTCGTGTATCTTTATATTCCCTGTGAAAGAATCACTACAGCTGGTCATATCTTAGACAAGCAATAGCAATCAACTATGATAAGCTGGATAGTCAACTCGTTGGGCAAGTATGGACTCCAAGCTTAGATTGCTTCGTACCTAATGACAACACAAATGTAAATGAGCAGAGCAGGGCTACAATTATTTTGTGCCTATGGACACCTTTAGAAAAGCTCCAGTTTGCCTGGCATGCCCCCAGCTTGAGGGTGAAAGCTTGTCAAAGCACCTTTTTAACAGCATTTCCTCAAATACTATGATCTGTTTGGTGAATCTGTGCCAGACAGACACAACTTTCGTTCAGTACACCATTGACACATAATGTGTACTCCTTATCTGGTAATACTCTGTTAATTTTTGATTAGTCTAATCAGACAAACACATTACAGACAACTATGTATTGGGAGGGGTTACCTGATCAGTACATTTACATTATATCCAGCCAGGTACAGAGTTACGGTATACAACTAGTACATTTCTGATCTGACGGATTGATATTTAATGGAGTGTGGCCAGATTTATTGTTTAGAGAACAGACATGTCACTGCATGCCAAAGAAAAACAAAAAATTAAGAGATGTGCATGACCATGCCATCTGGTCCCATTAACTCCTAATTATCTTAATGCAAAACCAGCACAGACAACGAATTGTTCGGTCTATCTGGTTTAGGAGATCAGATAATATGCATATCAGCAGTACCCACCAACTTCATGAACTAAATTTTAATAAGTTCTGAGGATGTTTTTAATTGGTGTGGGCTTACTAAATGAAACAAGTCCGAAGCACTCCACACTTGCCTGCGGCAGACCTGAGATCATCTTTAAGCATGTGGGAGAATGTGACAGGAGAATCCCTGTATATTACTGGTGAGGTCATAGGTTATCCTCTCAGGTAAAGTCTCAGCGTGTGATCAGAAAACATCAGACGCTGTTGGATCATGTAGAGATGGCAGCCTGAGGCAAGAACTAGGCGCTGACAAGCGGAGCAGGTACACGGGTAACCTGTCGTCCATCATCCAGGCCTACACGCCTGACAGCTACTGCAGGGAATAACTCACTTCACAGACGACAGCTCCTCTGGTGCTAATGTAAACTATGCTATGACCTGCAGCCTTGTCTTCTTCTATCACACACCAGATACTTTCCGTTGGAAACACACCGGGCCTCATTTATAATAGCTTCGGAAAGCCAAGTAACTAATCAGATTTCACTTTCCCATACTGTGGCGGGTGAGCAAAACTGAGGTTCTCTCCTGGTGCAATACCAGAAGTTTTTCCTTCCAACACTCTGATATATAAGGACTATAGACCTTTACTTGGAACATAACAGTTGTAGTGGATTGGTTGCTCCTTGCTGCTTTTTTTAAATTTTTGTAGTCATATCACCTGTATGGGTTTGCGGGGTCCGTAGCGCTGCACACCTCAGCGTGACCGTTACACACACAACGTCCTCCAATGCTAATATCTTTAATACTGTAATAATACTAGAAATGTAAAAGAAATCTATGTTATTGATATATATATATATCACACATAGCCAACAGCACTGTACAAAGTGTGTCTGTCCAGGGGCTATAACATTATCAAATATACAAAACTGTGTAACTATAAGGTCCTCTCCGGGAAAGCTTACAATTTAAAGTAGATGAGATAGATGGGTAGCTGGGTTGCACAGTTGGTAGTTTTGACAACATTTAGAGGGATATGGGGGTGTTAAAGGAGGATAGGTCATCAGCATGTACAAGAACAGAAAAGAATCCCACATTAAAGTTTAGGTTAAACTGCTTATATTTTGTCTTCCCTGGTTCCTCTCTTCCCCCTCATCAATGCTAAGGAAAATATGCAATAAAACCTTTCTGTTTTCATTACATAGCCTATTTTAGAGCCAGTGACATTATCACTGGGTGTCTATGTCTCTATTCAATGAATATATGCCATCAGTACTCCACTCAAGAGCCCTAAGTCCTCCTCTCAAGAGCCCTCAGTCCTGATGCAAGCAGTGAGCTCTTGAAATGAGTTATCAAAATGCCTTGAGGGGTGGATGCCAGCCTGGAGGGTATGGGTGCCTTGGTAGGCTGTACTTGCATTGCGACTACCCTAGGGAAAACCCATATTTAAGGCTGTGCCTCCATGACTTAAAGAACTGAAATCCAATGGATGAAAGCGGGCGGGCCAGGAACAGTAAGGCTAGGGAAGAAAGGGCTAGAAAATGCTAAATGTCCTTCAGTTAGTAAATTAGACTGACTTTATTTCACTTGCTGCAGCTTCCAATGCACATTGTATGAAGCTCACAGTGGTCAGTGAAATCAGAGTAAGCAATATCAGGACAGGAGAGGAACCTCTACAACTTTGCAAGGAAAGGTTGGAATTTACATTTAAATGTCAGGTAGCACGTATGGGATTCCACCACAGACTCCTCATCTGACTTTCATTAATTGCCGATAGCAGATTTAGAAAACTAAAGACTACCCCTTCTACAGTTTGACAATCCCACTTGTAAGTAACAGTTTATAGGTGGGGAAATTAGTTATGAAGGCTTATGCAAAGACTTGCAGGCTTGGTGAATGTCTGATGGCACATAGAAGGAGTGCAGAATAAGAAAAGCCCCGACAAAGTGAGTAAAAAGTGCTGATCAAGGAGAAAAGCTTGTAAGTGGAAACAAAAGGTCTAGTTGAGCATATACCTGGAAGCTAAGAAGATGAGAGAAGGAGCCAGACTGTTCAGGTCGTTATGTTAGAAGCAGGATTGTGAACAGTATCCTGTAGACAGTGGAAAGCCAGAGCAAAGTGAGAGAGAGTATCCAGAAGAAGCGTGTATGAGCCGAGCGAGAGTGTTCATAACAGACTGGAGTGGGGCTAGTCTGGTTAGCAGAAAAAGAACACAGAGCAGGATATCACAGTAGTGAACATGGGATATGAGCAGAGCAAGCATCACTTCACATCACTTTCTAGATGTCTATTCATACTTTTCAGCTAGAATATACTTCACAGGCACTGCAAAGCAGCCCTGCAAAAAAACATTCATACTCACCCTCCTGGTCACAGTGGGATCCCCCTGAGCTTTCCCCATGAGGTGACCCAACAGGGTGTTGGTCCGAAGAAAACTTAGACGGATGTTGGTGGCTTTGGTAAAGTTCCTCAAGAGAGGGGAGTAGGAGAAATTCATGGCTCCGGGACGTTTGTTGACCAAAGAAACCACAATCTGAAATCACATAAACCGCTGTTAGTAAGATGCTGGTCGGTTTCCTAGCGGCTCTTGATGCCCATAAAAAACTAAATAATATTTCCACATAGAATGAGTGTATTCAACTGATTTGCTGAACACTAAGGAAATGCATATTTGCAAATAAGGACAATTGTTCCTTCAGACAGTTGGATTAATCAGGCCTTCTGGGCACTATGTGATCAACTGCTTATATTAAAGCACACTCACCTCTCCATTCTCTAGCGGCACTATTCGGGAATATTCTGTTGTACAAATGACGTCGTCGTCCCTGTTGATACGTTGTAATGTGTGCACCCCAAAGCGTTCGATGCAATCTCTCTTGGATGCTGAAGAAAGAGGATGTATAGAGTGAGGTAGGAAACAACTAGCAAAAATCAAGGTATCCCAAATTTTGTGCCACCTTACTACCTTACCCAGGGGTGGACAATATGGAATTCAGGAGCCAGAATGTCCAATCCGGGAACCAGCAGGATATTTTTTAGGAGCCAGCTCTATTGACAACAACTAGAGAGAACCTCAAAAGTTGGGCACCTGCTGTCATTTTTAAGGAGCATTGGTTACCTGGCTCCTGTGTTTTGTCCAGCCCTGACCTTACCTACATCAATAGATTCACTAAGCTTCCTGTCCTAGCAGACAGCCAGACACTATTCTTCCACAAGGAAGTGCTGCAAAGAAATCCGGAGGCCTGCTCTCTGCTGTGCTTCACTGAGCTGCTGTCAATCACGCTGATACATAGTTAGGGCACCAGAGACACTATGGTGAGCCATACACAGCAGGTGAAATTTGTATTGTAAATGGCCGTGTTGGCCGCACCTGGCTCGACAAACTTTGATTGAAAAACAGAAAGCCTCTTTCTCATAATAATTATTATTATTATACAGGATTTATATAGCGCCAACAATTTGCGCATCGCTTTACAAAGTGGGGGAGACAGTAGAGTTACAATACAATTTACAATACAATACAATACAGTTTCAGTACAATAGGGTTAGGGGAGCTTACAATCTAGTAGGAGGGGCAAGTGATACAAGAGGTAATAATTCTACATCACTAGCGTTTGGGCTAATCAGGAAAAACAAAAGTCCTTATCTACAAACCTACACTGGATCACTGACCCAAAGAACTGAAGCATGAGGGTCAGTATGACTGCCAGGCAACTAGCATTTGCAGAACGAGACCTCGCCAACAGCAGCCTCTGTGTTTCTTTCAGTTTCCTTTAGGATTCATGCACATGGGCACATTGAAAACACTCAAAGTACTCACATTTATGAATACATGTGCACAGAATTTAGAAGTGTAAACTACTAGAATAGATTAAGGCATGTACATATGTATGTGAAAATACTCATCTCATATGCGGCTTTTGGGCTTTTTTTTTTTTTTTCAACGGATCTGAACACTGCTCTAGATTACAGAGCTATGTACATGGACATATTGACTATAACAGACCTGCACTCCGATCTAGAAAAAAAAAAAGCTGTACACATCCGAAATCATCCATTTTTTTCTCTAAGGCCCGGTTCCCACCTGGGCGTTTTTCCGCGCGCTCGTACGCGCGGAAAAACGCTCAAACTGGGAAATGCCATTATTTTCAATGTGCATGGCTCCCATCTGGGCGTTTTTCTGCAAGTACGAACACGCGGGAAACCGCCCTACGCCCAAAGAAGTACATGTACTTCTTTGGGGCGTTTTGGTCAGGCGTTTCCATTGGGATACAGCCAAGTAGCCCTCGGAAACACACGTTTGTCGCACGGGTTTTTTTTACCGCGAATCGCGCATATTGAATACGCCTAGGTGTGAACCCAGTCTTAAGCTGCATAAATAAGATACAAGCCAAAATAAAAAATACTTCTTTATCTCGTTCTAAATACCTAAACGTCAGTTTATGGAGTTCAGCGGTCATGGTACCTTCATGTTTAGGCCGAGGATGGATGGCATGTTTCCATCTGCCCCCGTATGGCGATCATAGACAGGAGATGCGCCTGAATGGCAGTTAATAAGCAGGAAGGGAGAACACGGGCAGTTTTTGGTCATAAAACTAGTTAACAGCTGGATATAACAGCTACAGGAGCAGGAAAATAATCCCCAACTGTCAGCCGGGTTACAAGACCCTGAACAATACACGAGGCTGAGTGAGACATCTGTAGAAGGAATTTGGTCATTCAGAAGGAATTATAGATAAACAAGCACTTTTCTATTGGCACTTGGAAGACCTAACAAGTGTTCTAGTGGTGAATAATATTTTCCAGTGCCGTACCTGTATCATTTTTATTAAACATTCCAACCAATGGTGTATAGCATACTAGCCTGAGGGATTTGCATTGGGATACATGAAAATCCCTCAATCTTTAAAAAAGATACCTAGAGTAGGAAAGAGCCCCAGGTTTTTCTTTTTACTGTGTGTTTGCAATGGGGATATTTCCCCACACTTCCTGACCTGATGACATGCATATTCCTAAACAGGAAGTAAGGTGTATTCTCTCCTTAACAGGGTCGCCAGGGGCATTAATAGACCCTGGCACACAGAGCACATGCTCCAAGTCTTCTACTAAGTGCCCGAGGTCTCCTTTGGAGTAGTTGTTGCCTCTAGATAAATATACTTCCATCTTTGTTGATTTTTGCATATTTGAGCTTTGTAGATCGATTCCTACCTCTCAGCCAGAAACTGCACTTTCCCTTGCAATCCCTTATAACTGTAATGCGTAGACAGTGTAGTGAATTGTAAAGACTTTCACTTGATTAATCCCAACTGATGAACTATACGATTTTACAATCTCTGCACAGCCAACTTTGTAACATTATTTGGTTGAGTTACTAGTCAATAATTTTTTTAAGCAATTATTTTCAACTTAGTCAAGTGATCATAATAATTTTTAAATACCAATGAAAGGCATTCCCAAGTACTAGCTTATTTTTATCATAACTAAATTAGAGAAAAACAGTATAAGGTGTGGGGGAAACAGTGGCATGGAAGGGTCATTTTAGGTGTCTTTCTGAGTGCCAGAGTTTTCTAGCCTGGGGCCACTGTCTAGGTGCCCAGGGGTTCCCACAGATCTTTTAGGACCCAAGGAACACTGCCGAGGGGCATGCACAGTGATAAAAGCACATCAAAGTGTCAAAACTTCACCACTCTATAAGGAAAAAGTGTTGACTGGAGTTCTGAGTATCTTACAAAGTATATCTGAGAAGGCAGAGGTACTCCTAGGTCATGGGTACGCAAGCTGTGGCCCTCCAAATGTGGTGAAACGACAAAACCCATCATGCATCTGCCTGTGGGAGTCGAGCCTGTGGCTGTCAGTCTTCAAATGCCCTATGGGATTTATGTGTGTGGCTGTCAGAGTCTTGCAATGCCCTAAGGGATTTATGCCTGTGGCTGTCAGAGTCTTGCAAAGCCTAATGAGATTTGTAGTTGCACCACAGCTGGAGGGTGCAGAGTTTGCCTACTACCCCTGCCCTAGGGGTGCATGAGCACGGTCTTACAGCTGCCAATCTTGAAGCCTCACTATCTTATGTATAGATGTAGTAGATTTCACATACACGCATGGCAATGATAATATACGACAATACATTTTTGGAAGTTAACTAGTGTATTTAGGCCCATCCTCAGCCTAAGCATATTTTTGGTTTTCATTTGGTTTTCATTAGAATGCTGGAGGGCCATTTTGCTCACTTCCTATTTCGGTAACCACACAGGAACTGAGGGTAAATCTGCTCAATGTCTACAAAAAAAAAAGCCAATAGAGGTTCCAACTTTTCAACTCTATCCAAAATTTAAAGGAAACGGCTGACTGGAATGGAACATGCTGGGCACTGACCTAAAAAAAAGGATTGCTAAGAAACAAGATGTAAAATGAAAATGCTCCATGACAGCTCAGGGGTGGCTAGCTTTGGATCGTGGGATTTCGGGCCCTCAAAGTCAAACTTCTTGGCAAGAGAAGTTGGTTTGTTAAAAAGCTTCACATCTTATTTCAATTAGCGGTCTCTGAATGTGCGTTCTCACAGCTAAATATATCCAAGAATAAGAGCGGAATGAGACGCAGAAAGAACAGGATGAAGAGCGATCATCAGAAAGTGATAACAGGCCGACTGTCAGTCACAGCAGCTCTGTGTCTTTACCCTGATGACAGGATGTAAGGCCAAGAGAGAAATGAAAAAGAAAACCCTAATGTATCTAATACTTCAGGAAATCTTGCAGAAGCCATTCAACTGAAGTGATATGGAGGTGTCCCACTCTAAAAATAGTCTGTATTTACCCCCTATAAAGCTATAATTTTCAAAAAACAGATTTGGGGCAACAAACACTTTCCTTTCAGGTATTTTTGAAACACTTCTATACAGCAGGCCCCTTTGCCTGAAAGCTGAACTCCAGGCAGATATAAACGACGCACATTAGGTATCAGATTCTTACATTCCCTGTACAGCAGAGCTCAGAGTAGAAGAGGGAGAAGTCAATCAGTTGAGCTGCAATGCTCATGTGCTAACAAGGAACATGCTGATGGGAGGAAAAAGCAGTGACACCTTTTACTTGTACAAATGCTGAACTGCTAGTAAAGATCTTTTCAAGCCAAGGATTTCCACTCCTGCTAGACAAATAGGTTTGTCTGCAGAAGCTGTAAGTTTAGAGTCCATCAGTGTCCTATTCATTGCTTAAGCCCTGATGAAGGAGAATTCCTGACCCCCCCAAACACGTTGACTGTGCATATCTTCTTGTTGCCATTCGTGAAGCCAACGACAATTGAGACAATTACCTGGCAGTCTTTTTTTAGTCTTCATTCACATGGATTTCTCATTCTGGACGTACCCTTCCTTTTGAGGGTCTCCCATTTTGTGAAGAGCTGCCGGGAAATAAGCCGTCACGCCCAAATATTGCTCCTATTTGACTAGAGAAATTTCCTAATCCAGGGCCTCATCTCCGCTCCCTTGGAAACTTGTGATAAAAGACATCACATTTCTGTGACGTTATCAGTTTCCCCTTAACTGCTGAACTGAGTATGTGCTCAGCATGCAAAATGGCTGCCAAAATGGCTAAAATCAGATTCTCATTTAAATCAACATCTAAAGAATACAATCATGGCAAACTGTTCAGCGTGATTGATTTTTTTTTTCAGCCAGTAAGGTTGAGAAGTGACACTGTCCATCATAATATTAAAGACACAAAAAAGATGAAAACTTACATGCAAAAAATTGCCAAGGTTGGTATGTGGCACCAAAATCTGTAGAGCGCTCCATTACCCAAAGATCTGGCCGCGGGGAGTTGGCAAACTTGATCCAAACGTATGCCACATGGAAAACCTGCAAGAAAAAATGAAGAGTATTTATAAAATCACATATACAAAGCCATGTTTTTTTATGGATGACATTATCACAGAATAGCGGGACTGGCGGTCAATGATTAAAGGACAAAAAAAGCAACTTCTAAATTGGAAAATCCCACAGCCAATCAGCAACCATCTTTTATTGTTCTGGCGGCACAAAGCTGATGTAGCACCCTGTAAGCGGGAGTGCTTAGTTCAATTTAGTTGTTGTCAGATTCTAATCAGTCTGATGTTGATCTATAGTGTATGCTCATCTGGTTTCCCTTAATCAATCTGTCATCGTTTGCATCTGCCTGCTGCTGGGTATATCCTTGCCACAGAGCAGAGCAACCAATATATATATGTTATGAATATCTATGTCTCCCTGGCCAATCACTAGGAGGTTCATGGCCAGTAGTGCATGCTGGGAGAAGATAAATATTTGAGGCAGACCATGTGACACTTTCATTCTCCCCCGGGCCCTGCCCAAAGGGAGGATGCTAAGGACTGTCGGATTTGGCTAGGCCTAAAGCCTAGGGGACTAGCCATGTGCTTACACTGAGGCCTGAGTCTGGGGTCCCAGTGGCTGATACAGAAGATGAAGATGACAAAGTAACTTCAACAGGCATGGGGAACCTGAGAAGTGAGCCTCTGCCAAGGCTGGAGAGTCTGATTGGTGACTTCTGATTCAAGTACAGCTCGGCCACGTGCTCTAAACACAATTTGCCACATTTGGCTTAAAGGTCTTAGTCTGTGGAGGCAGCAGTTACTTTGCTCTAACACTTAAAGGAGTCTACACCTTCCTGGATGTTCCCAGCCCTAAACCTCTCTCTCCCTGAAGTTCTTCAATAAAGTTCCTTCAGCATCACATCTACAGTCTGGATCTCAGCTTTACCAGTCACCACAGAAGGGTGGTAAGTAGGGTTGCCACCTGTCCAGGATTCACCCGGACAGTTTGGGTTTTGAATGCTGCGTCCGGGTTTCATGGGAGGTCAAACCTGGACACATGATGTCAGGCAGACAGGGGCAACCAAAATGAAGATAGGGGCTACTGGCCCCCCACTAAAAATAGTCTTGACTGTGATATTTACATATGAATGGATTACATTATTTACATATGAATAAACCGCAACTTGTTCTCCCCAAAACATTTCAGGGTAAGGAAGACCCGTTCATCTAGCAGCTCCTTTGGGGGTGAATGCTCCACTAACATTAGGGTAAATGTAATCAACTTATGAGCAACGGCAGCCAAAATGATCCTGTCTATTGTCTAGGAGCTACACCCTCTGATCCTTTACAGCCAAGGAAGGAGCCATCTTAGCCTCTATTTGGATTGCAGTTGCCATGGTGCTGCACATGAGATCAGCTACAACAGCGGCCATTTGAGGGCTTGAAAGTTTGGTTGAGAGCTGAAAAAGGCACACTGGCAACCTTGACTGTTGGCATGCCCTAAAAGTAATTGTTTTGGGAGACATTAAATTGGTGGGTCAAGTTCCGCTTTAAAGCCAATCTATGTTCTCTTTATATATTTAAGATATGCAAGTGAAAGAGATCTGATTCATCTATAAAACCTAATGTTGCTTGCTTCAATTTATAGTTTATAATTATTGATTAACATGGAGGCAGCCATATTTGATCCTTTTGTCTCACCGGAGACTGAATAGACTCTCCCTATAGGAATGATTTGAACCAGAGATCATGTGATCTACGATGCCTTGGCTAGATGCTGGTTTTTTAATCAATAACAAGTCAAAGGGTATGGTATATGATATGTTATTTATTACTAAAAACAATAAGGTGAATTGGTAATGCTAACCCTGCAGATTCATGTACAAATTAATGACAGCTCCACAGAAAGCTAACAAACATGTAGATCAGTATGGTGGCCCTGGCACTGAACAAGCTTCCATGTGTATGGTATATGGGATTAAGGTGCCAGGCTGTCCAATCCAGGAGCCAGCAGGATTTTATTTTCGGAGCCAGCTCCATTGACAACAACCAGGCTCCTGAGATTTGCCCAGCTCTGGTTTAAATGGTTGCATTGGTAGCCAATGAAGTATCCGGGGCCAAAAACAGACAAACATAAATCACTAAAACGTATTATTGTCGCTGGAAACTGGAGACACATGAAAAACTAAAATATAAAACTTGAAGAAAAGAAAACTAAAAGGGCCTGGATACTATCCACTCTGCCCACTTCCCGATATAAGTAATGACATTTGTTTTCTGTGGTCTAATAATAAACCTTCTAATGGCTATTTTCTGGCAGATAGGGAACTGTGTGTGCCTGTACTGACCCGTACAGATCTATTTGTCTATATAATAAGTCAATAAGCCAAATTTCCAGTATCCCATCTATCAATCTGCCATAGATACACAGCAGGAGGGGACAGCCACCTCTGCTGACTATGAGAATGATGTCAGGCAGACAGGGGCAACCAAAATGAAGATAGGGGCTACTGGCCCCCCACTAAAAATAGTCTTGACTGTGATATTTACATATGAATGGATTACATTATTTACATATGAATAAACCGCAACTTGTTCTCCCCAAAACATTTCAGGGTAAGGAAGACCCGTTCATCTAGCAGCTCCTTTGGGGGTGAATGCTCCACTAACATTAGGGTAAATGTAATCAACTTATGAGCAACGGCAGCCAAAATGATCCTGTCTATTGTCTAGGAGCTACACCCTCTGATCCTTTACAGCCAAGGAAGGAGCCATCTTAGCCTCTATTTGGATTGCAGTTGCCATGGTGCTGCACATGAGATCAGCTACAACAGCGGCCATTTGAGGGCTTGAAAGTTTGGTTGAGAGCTGAAAAAGGCACACTGGCAACCTTGACTGTTGGCATGCCCTAAAAGTAATTGTTTTGGGAGACATTAAATTGGTGGGTCAAGTTCCGCTTTAAAGCCAATCTATGTTCTCTTTATATATTTAAGATATGCAAGTGAAAGAGATCTGATTCATCTATAAAACCTAATGTTGCTTGCTTCAATTTATAGTTTATAATTATTGATTAACATGGAGGCAGCCATATTTGATCCTTTTGTCTCACCGGAGACTGAATAGACTCTCCCTATAGGAATGATTTGAACCAGAGATCATGTGATCTACGATGCCTTGGCTAGATGCTGGTTTTTTAATCAATAACAAGTCAAAGGGTATGGTATATGATATGTTATTTATTACTAAAAACAATAAGGTGAATTGGTAATGCTAACCCTGCAGATTCATGTACAAATTAATGACAGCTCCACAGAAAGCTAACAAACATGTAGATCAGTATGGTGGCCCTGGCACTGAACAAGCTTCCATGTGTATGGTATATGGGATTAAGGTGCCAGGCTGTCCAATCCAGGAGCCAGCAGGATTTTATTTTCGGAGCCAGCTCCATTGACAACAACCAGGCTCCTGAGATTTGCCCAGCTCTGGTTTAAATGGTTGCATTGGTAGCCAATGAAGTATCCGGGGCCAAAAACAGACAAACATAAATCACTAAAACGTATTATTGTCGCTGGAAACTGGAGACACATGAAAAACTAAAATATAAAACTTGAAGAAAAGAAAACTAAAAGGGCCTGGATACTATCCACTCTGCCCACTTCCCGATATAAGTAATGACATTTGTTTTCTGTGGTCTAATAATAAACCTTCTAATGGCTATTTTCTGGCAGGCTCGTAGGTACACCGCCATCTGGATGAAGCATGCATCACCGGCGGTAAAGTATTAATCCATCATAGCACCTAAAAATATATTTATATATTCTTCTACGGGAGTCTCCTTAAAGTGTACCTTCAAGTATAGCAATTAGGCATGCATCGATACCGATACTAGTATCAGTAACAGTGCCGATACTGAGTATTTGGGTGAGTAATGACCCACCTCCCGGCTTAATCATAGCACCTAAAAATATATTTATATATTCTTCTACGGGAGTCTCCTTAAAGTGTACCTTCAAGTATAGCAATTAGGCATGCATCGATACCGATACTAGTATCAGTAACAGTGCCGATACTGAGTATTTGGGTGAGTAATGACCCACCTCCCGGCTTCCTGATTGGCCGGGAGGCTAGCTCCTTGCTGATTGGCTGGGAAGCTGGCTTCCAGGCCAATCAGCATTGAGTCGACCGAACACCCAACTCCTTGCTAATTGGCTGGGAAGCCAGCTTCCCAGCCAATCAGCATGGAGCCGGCTTCCCAGCAATTCAGGGAGTCAGAATGCGGGTCATTACTCGCCACCCGGTTTCCTGATTGCTCGGGAATCCTGCTCCATGCTAATTGGCTGAGAAGCCGGTTTCCTGACTAATCACAATCGAGCCGGCCAAACAACATGGAGCCAGCTTCCCAGGCAATCAGTAAGCTGGGCGGCATGTCATTACCCGGCGCCCGGCTTCCTTATTGCCCAGGAAGCTGTCTCAATGCCACCGGAAGCACCGTTATCGGTACTCAATATCGGCGAGTACCGAAAGCAAAATATCTGTACTTGTGCTCGATACCGAAAAACTGGTAACGTTGCATCCCTAATAGCAATACAGCTGACTTAAAGGTGCCGACTCCGGGGCTCAAATCCTGTTCCTGTCTCCACCGCCTACTGCAGGTCTAAGAAACTTGGGCACTCTTGCTGTTGCGGAACTACAAGTCCCATAAGGCATTGCAAGACTCTGACAGCCACAGGCATGACTCCCAGAAGCAGAGGAGCAGACAGAATCTGGAACAGTTGCTCGTGGCAATCATTCTCAAAGCTTAACTGAATGATAAGAGAAGCTATTTGCTTACTATGGGCAACAGATTCTGTCTGCTTCACTTCTGATAAATTCTCCATTTCTGAGTTCGGTTATGTCACCTTTTCAGATACAAACTGTTGATAGCAGAGTTATCCCTTCATTTCCCGCAAGGCTCCGGATAGCTATAACCCAATCGGACGACAATTTGTAGGGATATTTTGGTGCACAGAAACCTAAATAAGTATTGTGATGGTTTGAGTTGCTCTAACC